ATTGTAGTCCTATATAGCAAAAAATTTATTAGTGAATTGAACAATAAAGTTAGAATCATTAAGCAGTTAGTTCCTTCTTTTAAAACTATTGTCTCCGCTCCATCTGGTAATCCAACAGAACATGACATAATGTTGCGCAAGTCACTTAAACATGCATTAGTCTCGATTATGTAATGTGAAACCTCTGTGTCAATAATCCAAAATAAAAAATTTTACTTACCCGTTAACCTCTTGTTAACATCAATTTTGTGTAAGTTTAATATGCTGAGCAATGTAGCCCACTGTTCGTCACTTAACTCATTGATTCCTGTTCTATCAGAGTTAGTCACAACATTTCTCCCACCATCAACTCTTGGCATTTGAAATGCATTGGCTCGAGCAGTCCCTTCGCATCCTCGCCCTCCACTAGTGCTCTATTGGACATTACGTCCATGTGCACCACCACGATTACCAATGGTTGTGTATGGGCTGTCACCCCACAATTTCGGATAACCAATCAGTTGAAAGCCATTATTAGTGTCATGTCTCTTCCACTTGCAATTTGAACAAACCACAATCTTGTTTTTTTCATCCCCTCTAGAGTTTCGAACACTAACCTATACTACAAAACTCATGGGGTTGTCTCTTTCTTTTTTTTGCTTGTGTCATGGTTTGTATTTGTTATTGTTGTTGTTGCACAACCATGGCATGAACTCGATTCAGATTTAGCAGAGGTTTGATGCTTAAGATATTGGAATGTACTATTCTATATCTATCATTTAATCCCATAAAAAATTAATGAACTCTTTCTTCTTCTCTTTTTTTTTTCTAATTTAGTGGTAATATTACATTCGCACCTAGTGCAGTTACAAACTAGGATTGAATCATAATTGTTTAGTTCGTTTTAAGGAAACTTGAGTCGATCGTAATTGGTGAGTATGCTTTGTCCCTTCTTGTTGTAGTTTGCAAGATCTTATCTCAATTTTTGCGAACGTGGACCATTCCTAATGGAAAATCTTTGTTTGATCAAAGTATGGGTTCAATGGTGTTAAACACCCATGAGACAAGCATTTAGTTAACGATCCACCAATCTTCAAGTTCTAGTGAATCATCATTTGGTTTCTTTGATAGTTCCATCAACAAAACCATATTTTTTTCTTGGCTTGTAATGCAGTATGCATAACATGTGCCCATTCATCATAATTCTCACATTTCAACTGAACTTGGGTAATTATATTGCCTAAATTGTCTTTCAAATTCAATGCATAAGATGTTGACATTTTTTTGTCGGAGCCTATCTCTCCTTGCTCCGATACCATGAAAAGATCAAGTAATTTGGGACATAGGTTTTTCTTATCCTTTTATTCTCATGAGTGGTGAGTATATATAGAGAAGAAATATATCAAGAGAATATTTACAATTAATAAAATAATTATACTAATGTATAAAATTAAGAAAAATATTAGGATCCAAAAGCCAAGGAGAATATCATTATCATGATCATGCTAAGAATCTCTACAATATTATCTAATAAAAAATTTTAAATACTCATTAATTTTTAGTTTTTCGAATTTATCATAAAACTAATACAACCTAATAATAAAAATCTTATCTCATTATAAAAATATTGCACTATTAATGGATGTAACTATCTATATAAAAAGAGTGTGTTTATGAATATATATCTAGGTAGAGTTAATTGATAATCTAAGTTATCATGTGGTATTTAACGTTATATTTAACTTTTAATAGAATTGATAAAAAAATATTACGTGTTAATAAATTTAATGCATGATGTATAAATTAATAGTATTAATAGTTAATATTAATAAAAATATATTACGTTAAAAACTTTTTAAAAGTACATAGATTAATCTGGATAAAAATAAAGATATAAATTAATTTAAACAGAAATAAGTTTTGCAAAAAATATAATTATTATTTTAGCCAATATATATATATATATATATATATGCTAAAGTGGGAAAAGCATAAGATATAAATTAAGCTTTTTGCTTTTTGATTTTTTTTAAGCCCCCAAATAGGGCTCGCAATTGTTCGAACCTGTAAGCTCTTAGATGGACTGGATTAAGAACAAAGAAATGAAGAAAGCTAAACACAAAAGATATTTATAAGCCCGGCCCACCTTTTTCCGTAAAAATAAAAAATATCAGATATTTAAGCCACCGGAATCCTTTCCCAATCCCAATAAATAAATATCTCCCTTCGCTCGTCCTGTCCCTTCATCGTTAAAACCCTTCTCTCCTTCTCCCAAACCCTGTAAACCTTATCCTGAAAACAGATAAACAAACTAGCCATGTCTCTCTCCGCCTCATCCCTCGTGCTCCCTTCTCCCAACCCGAAGACCCTTCCCCTCTGCAACTCTAAACCCTCCTCGCTCGCTCTTTTCTCTATAGCGTCATTATCCCACAAGCTCTCCGTAAAACCCATTTCGATTTCTTCTTTCTCCTCCTCTTCCCCTATTAAATGCTCTCACAGCTTGTCATCTCGGTTTGTTCGACACGTTGCTGTTTCCTCCGACTACGACCAGGAGGAGGATTTGTTGAGCGATGAAGGGGATGAGCCCAGCTTCTCTCCTGACCTTAAACTCTTCGTCGGTAATCTTCCTTTTAGTGTTGACAGCGCCCAGCTTGCTGGATTGTTTGAAACCGCTGGAAACGTTGAGATGGTCGAGGTAATTCGACATTTTCCCTCTTCTTTTCCTATATAAGTTTTTGTGATTATTTACTTTTGCTTTGGGTTTAGAGTTTCGTTTTCTTGTAAGGTTTTGCTGACTGTATCTTGTTTGTTTTGCTGGCTCTATGTGCTTACTTTTCTTAGCAAAATTAAGAACTGATAAGATTTCTAGTTGATTTGGGGGTCTTCTTTTTTTTTTTCCGGAGAGATTGTTAGGAAGAAAACCGCGTGTCTTTCCAAAAAGCACTATAAGTTTATTGACTGGAGATTTGGTCGGAAGATTTGTGAATTATGGGTGCTGATTATTGAGATTTTCAATTGCTGATGTTGCGCCAAAACGAGTTTACCATCATATTTTAGTATCTTTGGTGTCTATGGAAGTTACTGTTCTTATGTGCCAATTTATTGTTTTTGCAGGTAATTTATGATAAGGTGACTGGTAGAAGCAGAGGATTTGGTTTTGTTACCATGTCTACAATTGAGGAAGTAGAGGCAGCTGCTCAGAAGTTCAATGGCTATGTAAGGGTTTCTTTAATTGGTTCCTTTATCTGCCTGGTAGCTTTTATCTTCCTCTTTGAGGAGGTTTGTTGCTCTTTTTAATTGTATGCTAATATCGGGGGAAAATGGATAAAAAGATACAGCTTGAGATTGTATGTTTGTGTTGTGCCATTTTTTTTCAACCTGCTGATTCGTGTTGAATTGTGGCATCAATAATAATTTATGATATTTCTTTGACAATTCTATTTGTTTAAGTGAACTTGATGAATGCCTTCAATGTCTAACTTTGAGAAGAAAGAGGGATTTTTGCATTTGTTTTTTCTTCATTTTGACTTCAGCTAGAATTCAAATCCCGATCTCTATTGGTTCGCATATTAGGAGCTTCATTCTATCTTCTGAGTGTGCCTAAGTATGATTCTTCGATTCTTGCAGGAACTTGAGGGAAGACCATTGAGGGTGAATAATGGACCCCCTCCATCCCGGAGGGAGGATTCTTTCTCTAGAGGGCCAAGAGGTGGCCCATCTTTTGGTGCTTCAAACGGATCTTCAAACCGTGTTTATGTTGGTAACCTTGCGTGGGCTGTTGATGATTTGGCACTTGAGAACTTGTTCAGCGAGCAAGGGAAAGTTCTTGAAGCCAAAGTGGTTTATGACAGGGAGAGTGGTAGATCAAGGGGTTTTGGGTTTGTGACTTATAGTTCTTCTGAAGAGGTTGATAATGCCATTGCATCCTTGAATGGAATTGTAAGTTTATTTTACTTTTCTGCTTGATTATGTGCATCTCTGAAATGTTGGGGACAAATTCCGTATTGTGATTCATGGTTTATTTTTGCTGTGGCTTCTGCAACTAGTTTGTTACACTTCATTTTAGATTTAAATATACAGAAGGTCATATCTATATTTGATGTTTCCAAATTGGATGGATTTAGGAATATCAATTGAGGATGGGTGTTGTCTCTCTAGATGTAATTCTAGCACGCACACATCCTCATGCCCGTATTTTATCAGTATCCTTTCAGAATGCACACTTTTATCCTAGTTTGACTATCCCGTCACTCAACTTTTTAATGTATTTGTCTTGTCCAGGCTCTGGATGGCAGGCCAATTCGAGTCTCTGTGGCAGAAGCTAAGCCACCACGACGATAATTTAAGTGTGATTTGGCTTATGTAATGCCTAAGCAAATTCTCAGGTATAATTCTTTCTTAACATATGCACAATTCATGCCGTTGCTTTAGTAGAGAGATTTATGGTATATTATATCAACGAAATATTGGGGTTTTTCATATTCTGTTCCATCAAACTGTATTCATTTCCTTTCTTTATCTTTTAATCACATTCTTAATCTTATTTACATTGTTCTTAAGTTTTAGTGGGATATGTTCTGTAATGAATTTTTTGTTGTTTCTCTATTCCTTGTCATTGGGCTGGATTTGAATTTCTTAGTCGTCTGGTTAAGAAATCTCGAGGTTTTTGAACAGGTACCCGAAATATGAGCTCGGACAGTGCATGGAAAACATGGAGAACATGCTACGTGCACCTGTTGCATCTGACTTTGTAGTCAGCTGCTGTCTTTTGAGTTCTGGCTGTAGATTGTAGGAGGCTACTTTCACCCAGGGCACCTGACATTGTGGCCACCTGCTGTGTTTTGACATCTGCATGTAGATCAGAGAGGGGTGGTCATGTCTCTAGTATTTTCAATTTATGTTATGGATATTGTGATTGGTTTCAAGAAACTGATTGGTAGCTGAATATTTAACTTCAATGGGCAGTGTTGCCTTATTTAAGATAAATTTTTGTTCTTGCTTTTTGCGATTATTTGTTGTGGTAGAAGAATTTTATGATAATTGAATGAATTGCAGGCTAATAAACTTGGAAAAATCCTCCAGGATTGATGACTCTAAAATAATGTAGTTGCTTGGATTGGTGAAAGCATTTCTAAATTCTCATGCGAAGGTAAGTAAGCTTGCTAAATTTCTATATTGGTTGGAGTGCTTGTGTTGATGATTGTAGGGACCCAATACACTTGACTTGTAATTTTGGTTAAACAGCCCATCAGTGACGGAGTCAACAAGGTGATCAAATTTGCTGTTGTTTTTTTACAATATAGGTTAAGCATGGGAGCACTCTGGTATTGTGTATGGTATTAAAGAACAAAAACAGGATCTTAGAGTCTAGTTCAAAGTGGTGGAACATTGGTTGGACGATCGGTGTGGGTCATTCCCATAGAGGTGATCTGGGTTGGAGCAATTTCCGCTAAATAAAAAAAGTGGTCCTGTGATTCCAAGTGACGTAAAAACTTCAAACATGAAAAATTTTGCTTATAAAAACTTCAACATGGTGCATTGTAATTATCATAAAAACTCTGTGAATCTTTTTATTTACCAGAATGAAAAACAATATCGTCATGCATGTTGTTGAACCTAAAGTCTAAGAATTTATTGTTATTGACCGATTTATGAAAACCCAGTTAATTTATTATTAACAAGTTGGATTAAGAGGGTGAAATCAACATTTTATCCTTATCGACTTTATTCCCTTCTTTGTCTTTGATTCTCATGCCATCAAATTAGGAATTACCAAGAAGATCCTACTGGTAATGAATTGGGGTCGTTCTATTTGTCGGAAACGCCTGAGGCGCGAGCACTTTACAATTTTTTTAATCAAATGCAAATTAAATCCATGTTTGACTAACTGGGAATTTAATTTAAAAAACCAAAATTTCTCCAGATATTCTCACTTTTGTTTACCATGCACTACCATACTCTCTGCCAAGTTGCAAAATTTTCAATGAACAATCCTACAGAGACAAAAGCCATTAATTTGAACTTCTCTTCTTATTCCCCGCGCACATATATTTATATATATACTCTCTTTTGTTTTTTGTCTGTTGCATTTTCTTCAAGACATTTTTTTAAGCTCCATGCCCAGCTTTACATTTGAAGTCACCCCAGCTCAAATTCTGGCTCTGATGTTTATATCTCCTTAGCACAGGAACTTTTCATTCTACAGGTATTGTGAGTTATAATCCCATGCACGCACTTCCCTCTTTTGTTGTGTTCATTGGTGATTTTTCTTCTCACTCACTATGTCTCTTTACATTCATGGTATATAAGTATTGCTTCTCTATTTGTCATGAACGATTTTTTCCTTCTCCGTGATATCATAAAGTACACGTGTGTAAAGTCCTTGCTGCTACACCTGAATCAATATATTACTTTCTTTACAAATCTACCAATTGGACTTCTTGCATTTATTATATCTGTACTCTAAAGATGTTAACATTTGGCCAAAAAAAGCAGTGGTGCTTTCAGCATCTCACAAGTTGCTACAATTTTCACATGATTCTAAACGGCATAAGTGCAGAAAGTTACCAAAATTATGTGGCTGGGATTTTAAATATTCAATTGTTTTCTGCTAATGATGCGCTGGTATTGTGTGTCATGGCAGATATAAAGGCACAGATTGCACCTGCACCACTTTGTATTGCTTATTCCAATGGCTTCTGGCAGATCAAAATCTATAAGGTACATTTTCAAACCTTAAAACCCATATTACTAGTTTATATGTTGGCATGCAACTTGTCTTTTATGATTATGTAAATTTCAGATTTGAAGATGACCCCGAGGTGGCAAAGCTCACGCCATCGCAAGAAGATCATTCATTAAAACTGAGCACGAGTAAAATCAATCAGAAGGCAGCTGCTGAGCTGCAATTGAAGAAGAGTGGCAAGCAGAAGAACAGCAGTAAGAAAAGCAGTAATAGTTTGAAGAAAAGAGAGCTTCTGAGAGTATTCTCAGAAGACTATGAGGCAGTCAAGAGGATGATACTCAATCCTCGAGGATCTGCTGTTAACAGATGGAACGAAATTTTCTTGGTAGCCTGCTTGGTTTCTCTTTTTGTGGACCCCTTGTTTTTTTACTTGCCAAAGACTACAGAGAACCTATGTGTCACTGTGTATAAACCACTTCAAATCGTTCTTGTGGTTGTTCGCTCACTTACTGATGCATTTTATTTTACTAAGATTTTTGTTCGACTCCGAACGGCTTATGTGGTTCCTTCGTCTCGTGTATTTGGGAGAGCCGAACTGGTTATAGACCCTTCTAAGGTAGCTTCAAACTACCTTTACAAACACTTTTGGCTTGACATGGTGGCTGCCCTACCCTTTCCACAGGTAATGTAACTCTCTTGGCATAAGCCTTTCAACTGTGTCTCCAGACTTGGATTTAAATGCAATTTAGTATCTTCCAATCTTCTAACTGCTGTACAAATTCTTATATATTCTCTTGCTGTGTCTGGTTCTGATATATTCTTTTCTCATTTTTCTTCTTCTTAAATCTTAATTATTTCATATGTATAAGTTAATCATAATTTATATAAGTAGGAGTTAACTATTAATTATATTTAATTTTAAAATAATAAATTTTTATATTCATTTATTAAAGATGGATCATGAAAATACCTAACTTGAATGGGGTGAATGTTGTTTTCATTTAACTTTTTTTTTGTTTAATCGTCTTCTCTATAGCTAAAATTTGAGCAAACTGAACCTCATTGATGAAAAGGAATTGGATAAGCTTGTTCTTGGAGCAGCTGGTATAAATAAGCTGCTTTTATGCAATTTTTAGGTGTTGCTCGGGACTGCAATTATCCCCCATTCAAGTTGTACATCAGCATTCTTTACGAGAATTATGCTACGCATAATCATCATGTTACAGTATCTTGTGAGGCTCTACCTTATTTTCCCACTTTCATCTGAAATAATAAAGTCTACTGGAGTTATGATGGAAAAAGCATGGGCTGGGGCAGCTTATAATCTGATGCTCTATATGTTGGCAAGCCATGTAAGCTTACCATATAAGAGATAGTCTTTTCCTTTTTTTTTCCCCCTAAATGTCACACCTTACTTGGGATTCATGACTTCATGACATTAGTTGTTATCCCTCTTTAAAAGGTTATCGGAGCTTGCTGGTACCTGTTATCAGTTGAACGACAAGAAGAGTGTTGGAGAGAAGTTTGTAGTCATCAACAGGTTGATTGTCATCCTGGGTTTTTTGATTGTCGCTTTGATGGTGAACCTAACCGAAGTTTTTGGCTGAAATCAAGCAATGTCTCTAGCATATGTGATCCAAGCAGTGAAATATTCGGGTTTGGCATTTATGCAGATGCAGTGAGTAACAGAGTTACAGGGTCAAGGTTTGTCAACAAGTACTTATACTGTCTTTGGTGGGGCTTGAGGAATCTAAGGTAACTAAAAACATTGATCCTATGTACATGTTAGCGCAAAAGGAAAACAGGGTATCCTGCTTTCGAGATATGCAAATCTGACTTATATTTTCTCAACTTGGCAGCTCTCTCGGACAGAACCTATTGACCAGTAGTTATGTTGGAGAAGTACTTTTTTCAATTGGTATTGCGATTCTTGGATTGGTGCTTTTTGGGTTATTGATTGGTAATATGCAAGTAAGTGTAGGCATTTGATGGAATACTCTTAAAAAAAAATTCAACTTTGCATTGCATATATCAGAAAATATCCTGCATTTGTATTTTTGAAGATCTAACTTGCATGCATGGTTTTAATTGAAAGACCTATCTCCAATCTATAACTGTTCGGCTAGAAGAGTGGAGGGTTAGGAGGACTGATATGGAACGATGGATGCATCATAGACAGCTGCCGCAGGAATTAAGGCAGAGCGTGCGGAAGTATGATCAGTACCGATGGGTTGCAACTAGAGGAGTTGATGAAGAAGCTATTCTGAAAGGCCTACCTTTGGATCTCCGGCGAGACATCAAAAGGCATCTTTGCCTTGATCTAGTCCGGCAAGTAAGTTGAGCTTACTAGTACTACTTGTACTCCATGAAAAACTTTAGCATGAAAGATCAGCTAAAACTAGTGTTGTGAATGTGTGACAGGTACCGCTGTTCGATATGATGGATGAGAGGATGCTAGATGCAATATGTGAAAGATTGAGACCTTGTCTTTATACATCGGGATCTTGTCTAGTTCGCGAGGGTGATCCTGTCAATGACATGCTTTTCATTCTCCGCGGCCACCTGGATTCCTACACCACCAATGGTGGCCGCACAGGCTTCTTCAACTCCTGCAGAATTGGTGCCGGCGACTTCTGCGGTGAGGAGTTGCTAACCTGGGCTCTTCACCCTCGACCAACTGTGGCCCTTCCATCCTCCACACGAACCGTCAAAGCCATCACTGAGATTGAAGCTTTTGCTTTAGTTGCAGACGACTTAAAGTTCGTGGCATCTCAGTTCCGCAGGCTGCACAGCAAGCAACTAAGACATACATTTAGGTTTCACTCGCCACAGTGGAGAACATGGGCTGCCTGCTTTATACAGGCAGCTTGGTTTCGGTACAAGAGAAGGAAAGAGGCAGCTGAGCTGAAGATAATGGAGGGTTTAGCCTCCCAGTCTCAACAGGCACCAGAGCCAAAGGCCTCGAGCTTTATAGCAAGCACGAGGGGGGGACGAAGCAAGCGATGTGGATCAGAGTTTGATATCCTAACCTCATTGAGGAAACCAACCGAGCCTGATTTTATAACCGAAGAGATATAGATGAGGAGATTAAGAGGATCAGTTCATGCGTATGAAGTTATTTGTCACTTGCAGGGACTAGATGATTGGTTCACGCCAATAATAGATTACTGGTCAAGTTTGTAAATGTGAATTTAACAAATGGGTATTTGGTATGAACAGCTTAAAATTGAAAATTACAACCTAGTAAATAGAATTTTGTTTTGGTTCGGCATAATTTCAATTAAGGCCATAAGCCTACTTGCTTGCGCGCAGAATGGGCCATCAGTTTATGTGGAATGAATGGGGTTTCGTTCTGGTCCAAATTGCCTTTTGTAGAATGGGCTTGAATTGTAAGTAAATATGAAGGACGCAAAATTATATCACAAGACATTTTTGATCTGTTCATGAGTGGTGATATATAATTATCCAACCAACCGAACCATCATTTGAAGGTGTGCGCGTATAGATTGCTCATAATACCATGTAAGTCTACGTGATTGGGTTCCAGAAATCCCATTTTTGTGGAAACCTCTGCAGTGTACGTATATCTTAATTAAGTTACATGCACGCCGTGTCTTGATAATTAATTATGCGTATTTGTTAATTAATCTTTTTAATTACTTTATTGAAGCTTTTAGATTTTTCTTTTCCCTGAGAAATGAACGAAGCTTTAAGACCGGAGTAATCAGTTCGCTAATATTTGTGATCGGCTTAATGATTTTAGATACCCTTTTCTAAGTCCACCATCTTTGACTTGAATCCTAAGATAAGAGTTATCAGTTCACTACATGTATTTCTTATGTATACATACATACAATGTACAGCATGTGTGGTGGACTAATGAGAGGTTGAGAGGATATAATAAATGTTAACTTTGTCTCTAGCACACACACACACACACACACACATATATATATATATATTAATGATCGTTCCTTCGCAAATTAGTTTTCTCTTTCTCTCAAATTATATGTTTTATATAATGGAAAGCTTTGATGTCTTTTTAGTCTTTTAAGCAAAAAAGACGTTGTTTCTTGGGCGTTAAGTTTTTAATTTCACGTAGGTTGAAACCTCATATAGTTTTATATATATATATATGCATGTTGTAGTGGGTTAATCATCACAACGTGAGTCTGCATGGATTCTTTTTCTTTTTTCTCTTTAATGTAGAATCCTATGTAAAAACATTATTTGATATATATATATATATATATTAAATTTAACTACATCCCACTTTTAATATTAATATTATATACTTTCCATATAATCTGGAAACTAATGATGTTTTATGTAATTGATGGTGTTCGAATATATATGGAGGCAGACCGTAAATATGTGTCTGGATATATGTATGCAATTATAAATTGTTTCCGAATAACAATAGTTTGATGGACTTTGTAAATACAATTAGTACATTTAAAATTTATAAATTTATAAAATACTTTCAAACATTCTAAAGAATATATTAAATTATTTATAACCCTTGAAACATTAAAATTATTTGCATATAGGTTTATATTATAATTATTTGTACATACATATAGTTGAAGTTTGATGATGAGTGTTTCTTTTATTGCGTGCTTCAAGTGTTTATATTATATCCTCATGCATCACCCACTATTGTGTCATAACTCATAATGTTAAGCACCAAGAATTGAATTCTTGAATAATAAGTAAGATAAGATTACAGACAGTCAAAGGCACATTGAATACACATGTATGCATACCGTATATGTATACGAATACACAGAGATATATATATATATATGTATATATATGTGTATAAAATGCGTATCGTATCATATGGTTGGAATGGAATGAAATGTGTAAAACAATAATGGAGGACAAAGCCCAGTCAGAGTCAGGTTCTTTTTCTTTTTTTAATATAGAAAAATAAAAATAAAAAAACTTCTCGAATGACGTTTGTAGGAGGGGACCCACCCTTCTTGTCAAATATAAAATAAAACCATCTCTTCTTTGGGGAAGGGGGAGCAGGAGTCTCCACGCATTGGCCCACTTTGACTAATGGGCTCACAACAATATCCTTCCTTCTGTTCATATATATATATATATATATATATATATATATACATATAATTATCTCTCTCCCTCACGCGCGCATATATGTATATATACATATCTACACACCATTAATTCAGAGTATTCAATGGAAGGTGTGGGCAGCCATTGGCATTAGATGATGAGCCACTTCGGCTACACTATTCTATTTTTATTATTGTTTGATTTTTATCATACTGGTAAATTATTGAATAATTTTCCCACATGCAAATGCCCTAAAGTTCCAAGAGAATTAAAAACTATGATTAAAAATAATAACTTCGTATAAAATAATGAACGAGAGACCCTAAATTACATGTACTGAACTGTAACGCGAAGTAATTCTTGTATAATGGAATGGAATTGCAGCAGAGAAAGTAGGGTTTGTTTGGGCGACTGATGTTGGAATCTGCTTTTGAGGAGACAGACATAAAAAACAAAAGGGTTCAAAGGTATATCAAATCTCATTATCTGGCCGTCATTTTGGAAAGTGTGTTGTTATTTATTTTCTCTTTCTCTTATATCTATATCTATATATATATATATATATATATACATACATACATATTTATCATGTATAACCATAATCCAATTGGGTAGCTCAACACTCAAAACTTTTGGTTGTAGGCTGAAAAAGATGAGATTGAGATTGAGATTGAGTCTCGTCTCCTACCTCTTATACTCAAAGAGTGAATGATCAGCCGGCCACTCTTTCTTTATATTTACAAGTCATTTAATGCAGTTTACTACTAATAATTATATAATGTAAATAGAGACACAGAGAAGACAAGATATAATATAGGAATTATATTTATCGATTTTTATATATATATATATATATATAATTTCTTTAAAAACATGTTCAGGAGACATTATCGGGAAAGCCTCAAAGTTTGTGGCCCAGAAAAATACGAGTCTTTATGGTCATGTTTAATCTTGTTATGTTTCTGTTTGCCATGTTCTCCTCCGAAAATCATGCATGCACCCACAGTCAAAAGTAGGGATGGCAATATTCTGGTTTGAATCAGTTTGGGTTCGGATCATTACTCTGATTCGGATTTGAAAATGAAAAATTCAGCATATATTTAAAATTTAATTAAACATATAAAATATAAACATTTAAAACTTAAAATTGTAATCCTAATTTTCAGTTCCACTCGTTCTTTCAAACTCAAAATCCACCGCTGTCGTCCCCATCTCCTTTTTCTTCTTCAACAACCACTGTTATCATTCCCATCCAGCTTCTTCGACAGTTGTCCCCATCACCATCCTCTTCTTCAACAACCGCTGCTATCATCACCATCCCCAACAGCCGCCACCATCATCAATTCCAACAGTGTGGTGGTCCAATGTAAAAGAAGCTTGGATGCTGAACTTTTGCTGCATTTTGTTTTCTTCTCTGTTTAGATAATGCAGCTTCTTTGGGTAAAGGAGAAATAGGATTTCCTCATAGTTGCTTTGTTTTTTTTTTAAAGTTCTTTATATATATGTAAGAGAGAAATAAGATTGTATGTTCTTTTGCTCCTCTGTTATTTCAAGTTTATAATTTTCTTTTTCTTCTGTGTTTAATAAGTTTTAAGGATTATTTCAGATTTTGTTTATTTAATTAATTTACATAATTAAATTAATCTTATTTTTGTCAAGTTTTCTTTATCTTTCATTATTTGTTCTTACAAATAAAGTGAAAACAAATCTAACATATGTAAACATCTTTCACGTTTCCATAGAAATAAAAACCTATTTACTCTGATTACACATATATATATATATACATATTTTATATAGAGAGAGTAATGATATTTGAAAGTTCGTCATGGATGATTGAAATGACCACGGTGGCAAGCTGGGTCATTGTGTAATTTGCATATATATATATATATATATATATATATATTAAGGGTAGTTGAAAGTCAATAATGGGTGACTGAGGCAAGCTGGGTCACTGTGTAATTGGCTAACATATGGTACTCAACAGAGAAAGCAAGGAGGAAGGTCCTTAAGACCACAAGAGATGTCCCAAAGATAAGAGACACAAGTCCCTGGTTAAGGATACCGCATTTATGGATATTTCTCCGCATACATACATATCCTATTCAATTACTCTTTGCAAAAAAAAATAATAATAATAAAATTTTATTTGACGATAAACATATTAAATTTGTTCTTCCAAATCTTAGACAAAACATATAAACAGTTTACATTTTTATTTGAACGGAATACAACATACAGCATAAGAAAGAAACAACAAGGATTACAGCTTCACTTGTGAGTAGCTACAGACAACAACTATCCGCATGGCGTTTGTAGGTAACCAAGATCATCTTCTCGGGCAGTAGTTGTAACGTATTAATCAAGTAGATAACCTCAACTTTACGTTATGTTTTGACTCGGTAAGAGTAAAAAAAAACTAATGCAAACGATCGTAATCACAACGAACAAATGGCGTAAATCCGACATCCATCTATTTAATTCCAAGAGGATGACTTTAATAAACCGTATTAACCGTCACAAACTAACAATAACGGTTTTGTCGTCGTCTCCCGCGTACCTAGTGGGGTCTGAAAATCTCATGCAAACTCTTTTTCTCACTCGGTTTTCTTCTTCTTAAAAAGTAATTGATTAATTAATGTAGAATAATATTTTCTTTTTGTTTTATAAATTAAATAACAATTTTTTCTTTATTGTCGGTTTGTCTTACTCGATGGAAAATGCATGCATATATCAAATCTGATAGAACACAGACATACAAGCAGTCAAAAGGAAGCCTGATTAGTATATTTTTATGAGTAAAGTGGAAGAATCAATGAAACCTTCATTAACCATTAATATATATACATACATATATATATATATGCGCCGTGGTGATCGTAGAAAGAGAAAGGTTTTGTTTACATGCATGCATGCATGCTTGCATGCAGTAAAATGTGATGCGGATATTGAACAGATGATTTAGCAAACGGGTAACTTAATAGAAATGTTAGGGGCCGAAGAGATGAAGACCAGAGCCATCAAACTCCAAGAAAATCTTATTTTGTGATTCCTCTTAAAAAATGTTTTTGAGTTATATTTATATTCTGCTCTCGAAGCAAATACATATAATTTAGGAAAAATACCTAATGTTAGCACGACGCCATTTTTGTTGTGTAAGTAAGTTAATGTGTAAGAGGTTATGGGGGCTTTTCACAGCATATCTTGGGAATATAAAGGTAATAAAAGTTTCGGTCGGGCGTTGGTACGACTAATTCTCTGTACACATTTTCTCCCTGCAAATACATGCATCTATCGATTTTCATTCTTGTTTTTTATCTTAATACATCTCTTGATTATGTTAAATTTACTATCACTAAACTAACCTCATATTAATGACGCTGCCATCTTCTCAGAAAACAGCTAAGATGGTATGACCCGCATACACGTCGCTTCTCTTTTTCTTTTCTCTTTTCCTTTTTCTTTTTTGCGTTCTACACACACACACACACATATATATATATATATATATAATGTTTACGTATATTTGTTTTCAGAAGAGGAAGTAATCATCCATGACCGATGCATATACATAGTAATTCATTTACCATACACGTCCTTGTATAGACTGCATGTTTTCAAGCATCTAATAAGGTAATATGAGAGCACATAGTTGGGATTCTTTGATCTTTTATACGAGTTAATGTTCTAAAAAAAATACTGAACATATTCGTAATTTAATATATATTCTATTTATTTATATATATTTTTGTATCTTGCTTTGTCACTCTTTCCTTTTCAAACTTATTAAGAGAATATTTATATGCCATTTTCTGGAAGTAATTATATTGCATTAAGTCCCTAATTTACAATAATTTTTTTTAGCAGTTATTTATGTAATGGAAGAACATTTTGTTATTAAAAATACATTTTTTTTACTAAAATTTAAAATTAAAATATACTTTTAACATATACAAACACATAATTAAGTCTTACATGTTTTTCAAACACTATTTCTGCTTTAAGAAAAAAAATATTCTATACATGGTTTTTTTTTTTTAAATTATCCTTACACTTAATTACTGAATTATTATTATAGAAACTAATAATAATAAATAAATATTTGTTTTTTTAATTAATATTACTCTACTAGTAATAATTGAAATTAATTTATTATTATTATTTTTTTATTGTTTGGACATTTACCATCCTTTATATTATAATAACTGTTCGAATATATTTCAAATTAAACATAAATAGTTTAATTAAACTTTTTTTTTTGAAATTAATAATAACAATTATTTACTTAATAATTTTTTTTATTACTAAAAAACTATTTTAACAGCATTTCTAATACTTATAATATGAGTAATAATTACGCCAAACAGATAATAACTTACTTGGTTAAACTTATGATATTTAAATACGATAAATTAAAAACATGAGACAAGATATACCAATAGTAACAATCTTTTAAACAATATGGTACGAATGTATTTGAATTATATAAATGTTCATATATATAACCTGTATGTACTTATGGAGTACATTATATGTGCGTATATCTGCATAAATAGGTAAAGAAATAACATATGGGTGGATTTGAGAAAGACATAAGTTAGTCGTTATGTTTTTTTTAATGGAAGTTAATTAATAAAGTAAAAACAGATGGGAAGACAATAGCAGGCAATATTAAAAAATATTATATGCATCGGACATAGAAAGACAAAATTGAAGAAAGTGATTAGGAGTAAAATGCGCATGCGGATAGTTTAATTTTAACCAAAACAGTAATTATGAGTTTATAATCTCAAAGTTCTAAGCATACAAGTAGAGAGACAAAATAGGAGAAAGGCCAATTTGGGGATTGGGAATGCTAAAACAAGACCACCTTTTCACACATTATTATTAATTCCCATCACTTCATTTCCTGCATTCCTGGCAGCTTAAGTAATCAGCTACAATATTTTAAGATGAAGCATGTAGAGAAACCTACATATGTCATGAGAAATCAAATGATTGAAATGGTTGATACTTGATATTTGGAAGAAGAAGAAGAAGAAGAAGAAGGAAGTCATGGTTAGCGAGGGGGACATGGGGGAAGGGAAGGGGGCGCATGAAATATTAAAACAAAATGTTTCCTGAGAATCTAACAGTTGTGTGGTGTTAGGGGTAGGGAAGGTGGATTAGAGCACACTTTTATGCTCTTATATTCAATCATCAATCTCGCACATTGCTCTATAAAATAAATACCTGACCATCTGAATTCAACCCATAACTTTCCTCAGATGATGTGTCCATTAAAATAATCTTACATTTCCATTCTAAATTTTATGCCCATTTCATTAATTGATAAACAAATGTACCCATCCCACACTGTCTCTATATATCTTGTATTTTTAATTTCTTGTTGACAAAATGAATTGGAATTGGAATTGCTCGTTCCTCACTCACAGAAAGTTTGCATTTTTATTTTCAAAAGGGTAAAGTAAATTTCATATAACAACACTCTGCTACGCCTATTTACACTCCAAACTCAATCAACTTTCATGGACCCTTTATCTTAAAATTTTCAATTACATTAATAACCGACAGTGATTACTTTCACTTAACCAATTGTGGGTGCATGATCAATTAATTCGACCATTCGAGTTAAAATACTTAATTGTTACAGACATCAAAACTTTGAGTGCAATTTTACTTTTAATTTTCTTGGGTAAAAACATTAATTTCTCAGGCAAAAACAGGGTGCGAGCGAGATGGGGAAAAACAAGAAAATAAATATAAAAAAAGAAGGTGGGCGCGTGCGGAAATTAGCTGTGTGTGCGGGTTTGGTGGTGGAAGCGTGCTAATAAGTCACTCACGTGCGACAAAGGTTTTATATAAACGCATGGAGCGGAGGCAGCAGCAGAAGTATTGATGGCGGTCAAGGACTCAAGCGCTTGTAGTTGATACTCTTTTGTATGGTTTTGTGGCACGTATTTATGTAGATATTAACAGCATACATACATACATACATACATATATATAAAGAGAAAGAAAGAGAGAGAGAGAGAGTTAGAGAGGAGAAGATTGTTGTTTATCACAGTCGACAAATATATAAGCAAATAGAGATGGAGAGCGAGATGAGAGAATCTAGATTTAAGAGGATTTGTGTGTTCTGTGGGAGTAGCCAAGGAAAGAAGAGTAGCTACCAAGATGCTGCTGTTCAGCTTGGCAATGAATTGGTACACATTCTTATTTAACTTCCACCTTTTTACCATTTCCTTTCTGGTTTCTTCTTTGTTTGTTTTTCTTATTAGTTAGTCTTGTTTTGGTTATTTTCCAACCGTCGGTATGTTTGTGAAACTGGTTCGCGGACTAGTGTAAGCATTTTCAAATTTCAAAACTTGGATTTAGGGTCCATGTCCTGTCCTACATAGCCACAAGTCTCTTTTTGAATGCTGTTATCAGACGGCATCCCAAATGTTTCATTCTTGAGAAGTTGCCAGCTTTCGATCAAAGCTCTGTGATTTCACTCATATCTGCAAAAGTCTCCTTGTTGACTTTCAGCCTATTTCGCAGGTTTCAAGGAACATTGATCTGGTTTATGGAGGCGGGAGCATAGGCCTCATGGGTCTGGTCTCGCAAGCTGTTCACGATGGCGGTCGCCATGTTATTGGGTAAGCAGCTCTTTATCCTCTGCTACTGCTGAAACTCTCACACCAAATTAACATCGAATTTGATGATCTGATCTGAGTTGGGTATTTTCTTAATAAATGTTTTTATCTCTTTCTTTTCCTCTATTACAGACTAATGCCGTTCCTTCATTTGTCATTTTATTGTCTATCTGCAGAGTCATTCCCAAGACGCTCATGCCTCGAGAGGTATGTCTGCCATAGCCATTTGAAAAAGTCTTTAACCTTTTTCTTATTAAACTAGTATAATATTGTTGCCAAAGAAAAAGCCAAGTTAAGCTCTTCCCTTTCTTTCTCTATTTGAATATGAGATTTTTGTTAATTCCTTTTCCTTCCTTGCTTTTCAAAACCCCCTTTTTTTGTTTTTTCCCCCTATTTCCTTTGCCTCCCCTCTTAATTAGGATAATACTAATATTTATCTTTTAATTTGCTTTTTCTGGATTACTTATTTCTGTTTACTTTTTCGGACTATCACTTCCTTTGATGAATAATAAATACTCCATAGCCAGTAGCCTTATCCATATATATATATTTCCAGGCTAGCTGACACTAGACCTTGTTCATGTACATTTTTGGGATCATATTTTTTTTTCTCTGACCAATTTATTTTTTCTACAAACTGTTATCCTATTGTGCTTTTCTTTCTTGGCCTCTTCTATAGTTTGGAATTTCCTTTATTTTATTCATTTGTTTAACTGAAAACCTTACATTGCTGAGTAAGTCTTTGAATTAACTCCACCATCCCTGCCATGCTCATCATTGCTTCACTGCACAACACTCCAAATCTCTCTTTCTTTCTCTCTCCCTCCCCCACCCACCCCCCCCAAATTTCAATATTGTAAATTTATTTTGGCCTTTTCAGTTAACTGGTGAAACAGTAGGGGAAGTGAAGGCAGTTGCAGATATGCACCAAAGGAAGGCAGAGATGGCTAAGCATTCAGATGCTTTTATTGCCTTACCAGGTTAGTCCCCTGCAAACTTCATCCCTTCCACAAAATAAAGAAAACTAAAGCCGCATCAGCTGCTCCTTTTTTTTTTTTGAAGTATTTTTTTGGTCTATGATTGAACCATCTCTCTCTCTCTTTTTTTTTTTCTTTATTCTTTTGACATTTCTTAGTTCCCCTTCAATTTACTCTTGCAATTACCATCTACCAGTTAAAAAACTAGCTGGAACAGAGGCAAAAGATCACCCATATAACACAGAATATGAAATTGGCCAGTGCCTTCTTTCTCATCCCTTTCTTTCATTGACAAGCTCCTTTTTTGTCTTCCTCTGTTGCTAGTCGATGGAAACTGTTGGTTTTAAGTCAAGGTTTAACTGGTGACTTAAATAAATATCCAACGGCTAATGATGCTGAGACGATATTTTAGATGGAGGGTTGAAATTCACTCAAGAAAGGACAAAGCTTTATTTCCAAAAAGCATAATAAGTTTGACCCCTTTCACTTAATACTGAACTGAAGCATGCTAATTTACCAAAAAGGTGTGCCACCAAGAGGAGAGAAGAAAAAATGGCAGCAAGAATGTGGCTGTTATAATTTGATGCTACTTATGGAATTGCTTATACCCTGAATTTGAAAGCAACCGTGTCTTTTTTTTTTTTTTTTAAATTTTTGGGACACACAATCTCTCACAAACCCCAAGAGCCATGATCAGAGAGCTAACCTCCAAAACCCCCTTCTTGACCCATCAACATCTTACACTGAAAATTAGAGCTTCTGAGGAAACTCTGCTTCCCTGGCTATACACTTTACACTAATGTGTTTTCCACGCTGTCCTTTTCGTTTACCATATTAAGAGTAGAGGACATCCTGAACAATTTCACCTATTTGTTTTTGCCATCTACCACCTGCACCAAACAGGAATCACGTTCACCCCTCCTTTTTAAAATCTATTCTTCGTAACTTTTAACGACTACTCATTATCTTGACCGACCTTAGAAAAGAATACAAGAAAAGCTTCGGAAGTTGGAGAACATGGGAGTGCAAAATAGTCATTTTGTTCTAAGGGGACTGGTACGAGAGCTATTATGACCTGAATCTTTTTTTTTTTCACCAGAAAAGTATTGAAGCAACTAAGTCGTTTGGCTTCATGTGCGGAGAAAAGACAGGAACCAAATGTATTGAAATCTCATGATGTTGCCTGTGATAAGTGATGCCATTGAGTTTTACAAATGAACATATTAATGAAGCAACTTGCATTGATATATATCATTCACTTGATTTAATTTTATGGGCATCAAGTACCATTTCGGTTGTATAAGCAGGAGACATCATGTCCACCACATAAAGGAGCTTGTGTTTGACCAAAAAAATTCAAAAGGGAAAAAGAACACTTGGAATTGTCATTGCAGTAAACTTGTAACATGCAGCTTTCCTAGTTACTATTAACAAAGCCTTACCTCTAGTAGTATCAGCTTTTTAAGCCTTGTTTTCGTTTTAATCTGACTGGCGGATTTAAAAATACTGAATGAACAAAAACATTTGAGAGATGCAGGTGGTTATGGCACTCTTGAAGAACTACTTGAAGTGATAACCTGGGCTCAGCTTGGGATACATGATAAGCCAGTATGTGTCTTCATTTTAACATAATAATAATAATTACATATGCCAAATAACAACATGTTTATAGTGAGTTTTGGAAGTTGAGAAATGAGGATACACATTTTGCAGGTGGGGTTGCTGAATGTTGATGGTTACTACAATTCCTTGCTGTCGTTTATCGACAAAGCTGTTGAAGAGGGATTTATCAGTCCAAATGCCCGCCACATCATTGTATCCGCTCCAACAGCAAAGGAGTTAGTCAAGAAATTGGAGGTACTCACCTCTGCTTATCACCACTCATCTTCATCTTCCACAATTTGAAGCAACCTCTTTTTCCCCATGAACTTCAACTTACAAAATAATTCCATGTGTTGGAATAAATAATGGGTCCACTTGTGTGTCAATCAATATCTTTATCTACAGCTTCTAACACCGACAATTACATAAAACTCCCTTCGTATTGCAGGAGTATGTCCCCTGCCACGAAAGAGTTGCTTCAAAGTTGAGTTGGGAGATGGAGCAGCTTGGCTACCCTCAAGAATATGATAGCATATCTAGGTGATTCAAGGATATAGGGCGATGGGTTTTGAAAGGATCTAATTGAAAGCTGAAATTCTGTTAATGGGGAATTCTTTTTTTTTGTAAATTACTGCTATTGACATCAAATATGTGAAAGGTTTTCCCTTCTTGTGGAAATTCAATTTCCATTGTAAGTTGTAAGTAGTAGAGACTCATGAAACATTCCCCTTTATAATATTAACTAATTTAGATGTTTAAGGCGTTCACTTGTTTTTCTCCAACTTTTTACTTGTTAATGGTTGGCGGCTGGAAAAGAATTGAAGGGAATAAGAGCAAGAAGGCATTCCGTTCCAAATCAATGCGAGGAAGTTCGAGGAAATTACAAAAAAAGGGTAATGGTGAAGGGGCAGTGGTAGGCGCAGGTGCGTGTAAATGGATGGGAGCATTGACAAATAATGGAAAGTGATTAGTGATAAAGAGAAAAAACAGGAAAGCAAGTAAAAAACATGTTTTTTTTGGATGATGTCGAGGAAGACGACAGCATTAATCCAATCGATCAACCAACCAACGGCCAATAACGGAAGGTGCTTATGTATGTGTTGTTGATAGGAGGAGGGAGGAGATGGCGGGGGTGGGGGGGCCCGGGCATCCCCTTGATTTTATTATGTGTACAAAGAGCGGTAAGGGACCCAATAGCCGGCCAACAAATGGAACAATGACACGTGTTGGGTGGACCCACATGCCTCCAAACATAAAATTTAAAGGAGAGAGTTTGTGAGATGTGATGGAGTCCACAGCTTTTGTAATTTCTACACCATCCATCATCACCCTTCCACATAGTAACTAGTTGTGAAATATTATTATTTCTTTTAAATAAGATATTTTCTAATCGTAAAATAATTATTGACTTGGATTTACTAAAATTTCTAATAGACATTATTAAATTTTCTCAACTTTGTAAAGAATTATTTTATTTATAATGCAAAGAATAAAAATCATTCAATACCAACAGCAAATTTAAATTTAAAGATCGTCGTAAGAGAGAAAACGGGCCTCGTGATTTTATCTGAGAAGCCCGGCCTTGTTTTTAACGTTCGTTTTAACTCGCTCATCCATGGGCTTTCTAACTGGGTCTGGGCCACGACCCATTCTGATTAAGCTGGTCTCTCTACCAAAATTACCAATTTATCCCTCCCTTCGAGTCTTAACCGGCGACTTGCCCAACACTTTCCCCACTTCGTTCGTTCCGCAAACAACAAATAATCCCGAACTTCCCCATCAAATCTGATTCAAAAATGGTAATTTTCATCTTCTTCACCCTCGTCTTTTCCCAATTTCTATTCATCTATGCATTGAATTTCATGTTACTCGCGCTTATCCTTTGTCTTTACAGGTTTGTTTAGCTTGTTTGTTGCCGCTCTTTCTCGTCCCAATCGTCAATATATTACCCCTTCTCTTTGATTACATAATGGTGAGAGGATCTTATCTTATATCTTTCTTTCCCCTACCTTAAGAGATCTGTTTGCACTTCATCGGTGAATCCTTCTTGGCCTGCAAATATTATTTTAGGACAAGAATTAGTTCCATATTTTGGTTACCTACCTTTTGTTCACAAACAAGACGTCTTAGGTCAAAAACTTTGGAAATTTTTGTAAATTTCGTAATTTTCCGACTATATTTGTTATTATTATTTTTTGGGTTATCAAAATATTTTCAGGGAAAGGTGTATGCTCTTTTTGGCTGGGAATACAGGAAGCCGGAGAGGCCACCTCCAGCATGTCCGTACAAGCCTGCCGTCACAAAGAACGGCACTGCCGAGGTGGGTGAATTCCTCTCTCGTGATTTTGATTTTGCTTTGATGATTGTTTTTTTTTTTTTCCAATTCTAAATTCTCACTTAAAATTTCTCCAGATCTTTTTTACTTTTGATTTAACTTAAAATTTGCGTACCCTCAATTTATCATTTCCTGTACCATGCGATTTCCATGACCTTGTATCATGATGAATTGCTTGTGACTGTTAAGAGATGAGATGTCTGCTTGTGACTGTTAATGAACTCCAAGGATTGCATACTTGGATCAATGATGTAACTCCTAGCTGAGTTGATATGGCACTTTCGGATTGTGGTTGACTTGTAAGTTACATGTTTGACTTGGGGGCTCTCACTTTCCTATGTCAAATGCTTTCAAAATTTTCAGTTTCTTCACCCATGATGAGATTGCCGCAGTTGGGATTTCTATATCTTTCTCTTTTCCTCAAATCATTGACCCTCCATTTGAATTTTTTGAGATAGTGGATCAGTCAATTGGCATCTCCTACTGAGATTGATTGCTGATATTTTTCTTTGAGATTGAGTGCTAATAAATTTCTCCAGGTGTATCCGTTTATTAAATGGTAATCAACTATTTCATGGATAAGAGCCTTGAGTGAATTCAAATGAATAGCAACTGCACATGGTTAGACCGTGAATTTATTTTTTATTTTTTTTTTCTTTTATGGGGAGAAGGGAGCGAGAAGGATTTGGTAATTCAGATGCATTAGGCATTGAGATAATTGTTTCATCATGCCTGTGCTTTCCTTGAGTTAAAAATACTTATTGGGGTTGGAACAGGAAAGAGAGTTGAAGGGAGATAGCAGTGTGAGAAAATCACTAGACAGTATGGGATCATTTGTTAATTATTGAATCAGTTTCCTCAGTGAGGAAAGCTTGAAAGGGAGCTCAATTCAGTTTTTATGCACTCCTTTTCTTAAATCTCTTAAATACAAAAAATAAATTCATCTTTAAGCGTACCAAGGTGTGCCTTCAATACCGGAACATTGCATTTGGTTCATTTTCTATCCAATTCCTAGTTTTATATCTTATATTAATGTTAGTATGCATAAATTAGAAACTCTATGAAAGGTGGGATCCAATCTACATATTGAAAGGTAAAATTGAATTTCCACCATCGAAGAGTTTTAGGCAGAGGGTGGTGTAACTCAACACCATAAATTATGTGTCTAATTACGCATATGAAGACTAACATGAGAAATAAAACTAGGAATTGAGTGGGGAAGTAAACCCAATGTAAGCTAACAATACACTACATCAATGATCTGTTGAAATGGCAACAGCTCTTTGTGTGATTAGGAACAAGTATATGTTGTTGAACAATTGTGTCAGAAGCTGATCCAATGTGTTTACAGGTAGGCACAGGAGCTGAACCTGGTGCAACGCAGTACACGTCGAAACGAGAGGAATTGGTAGAGACAAAGCAGGATTGAAGTTGGATGAGTTTTCTTGTGCATGGACGGGAAAACATACATGGGGGGGAAGATGACGACGAGGGAGTGGAGAGTTGGTGTATTAAGAAGGTGTTTTAACCAAACTTGATCAAATGATTTGAAAGGCGAGACATGTGATGTTTGTAAAATGATTTCTTCCATCACGGATTAATACAAGATTTGCTGTAACTATCGCCTCTCAACTGTTACAAGTGGTAAGACAAAAATATGTGTGCTGTGTAGTTTTGAGTTTTGTATGAGTTGGGATCCGTCCCAAATTCAGAGATGATCTTATGGAATCCACTTTGGATTTTTGTATTCAATTTAGTTTAATTATAATTATAATTATAATTAAAAAAAAAAAAAAGCATATGGGTTTGGGCAGTAAATTAGTAAATTAACCCCCTCAAAAGATTAATCCAAACATTATTAAAGAAGCTAACTGAGGGATCATTCGGCACCGTTGGATTTGTTGGACTTGCATGCGACAGCCCATTCCATTTATCTGCTATCTTTACATTTCCCATCAATGGTTTTTTTCATGCAATAATTAAAGACTTATAAAATGAATTCCCAAAAAGCTTATTAGTATTAAATAGGAAGCATTACGCGTAGTGCGCCGACCCAAAAGTTTAGGTGATGGTGGGCGTAAACTCAAAAAGATTTCTAAAGTTAATATTAAAAAAAGCAATTTTATTACCGTAAAGTCTCAATTGGGTCTTGGAGATTTTTAACCCATGGATTGGATTTGCAATTTAGGACCCGAGTACCAAAAAATAGAACACGTGCTCTGAGTCGGTCAATTTATCGCGAGATGAGGGAGCTCCGATGTGTCCGTAAACGATATCGTGTCACAATTGTTATTTTAGAAAGTCCAAAAATTCTTGGACCACGTCAACTTTCCTGCCATTGTTCTTTTCTCATAAATAGAGCTAAATAAGCTTTTTTTCCCCCCCATTAATCCAAACAAAAAATACGATACGATATTTTAAACAAGTGTTAATCTCGCGTTTAGATATTCGGTCAGATCACCCCCCCCACCCTTCAACACCAAAATTTTAAAAAATAAAAATACATCCTTTGGACAAGGAAACAACAACAGCAACAAGTGAATCAGAAGGGATACCACACTGATTCTCTCTTTTTATCTGTTTCAACTTCAACCCTCTGTTTCCTTGTTATAGAACAACAAAATAACTCCCCACCCACTCTCAAACTTTTAATCTTTTCTTCTCTTCTTCCTTTTTCTTTTCTTTTTTTTTCCTTCTCCCAAAACAGAATCCGCTATGGGTATTCTATACGACGACGTTGTCATCATCCGGGAATCTGAGAAAGAAGGTGACCCCAGTGTTATCACTGTTAACTGCCCTGATAAAACTGGCCTCGGCTGTGACTTGTGCCGCATCTTGCTCTTCTTTGGTTTGAGCATTGTCAGAGGAGGTAACTTTTATTCCCTCTCTAACTCTCTTTTGCTCCCTCGGAAAATACCGTACCAGTTGAGAGTTTTCGATTTTTTTTTTTTTTGCATCCTTTTGCTACAGCATCATGAGGGTAAAATTAATTTTCAATAAGACATCACGTATAAAATTAATCTTCAAGTTTGCCAAACAGGGGATGTGTAATTGGGGCGTGGGAAAATTTTTGTACGAGGAATGGATTTTCCAGTTTGCAAAGCTGGGAAATTTTTAGAATACAAGTGTAAAATTTTTATATTTGAGGGTAGAGTGATGGGTGTTTGTGGTTTTGATTCTTTGAAGATGTATCCACGGATGGAAAATGGTGCTACATAGTGTTTTGGGTGATTGGCAAATCAACAACCAGATGGGGTCTAATGAAGATGAGGTTAGTAGAGGCATGCCCTTCTTGTTCTTCAACTTCTGGGATATTCTATTACCGCGCAGAATTGCAGTCTCCCAAGCCTCCTGATGTATTCCTCTTGAAGTTCTGTTGTTATGATCGAAAAGGGCTTTTACATGGTAAGCTACTTTCATGTCTCAAAAGCCGTGTGGTGTGTGCGGGATTTCATTCTGCCTTATGCTCTGTTGATCTCCTTTCCAATTTTGACTTTCCTATGCATGTCTATGGGTGTAGTATTGGATTATGTTACTGGTTCTCACTCTCTGAGCGAAACTATCATCCCCATGTAGCATATCGTTCCAATCATCACATACCAATGGATGGACTGGTCCTCTCTCATTTGTTCCTTGCGTATAGAGAGGCAAAATTATCTGATTCTCTATTTTCTATCAAGTTTTTGTTTGAGAATTTTTTATACTAAAATGTAAACCGAACTGTATACCTATAATTGCTATTTGATGTTTCGCTCTTGTCAGATGTAACCAGTGTTCTTAGTGAGCTTGAGCTCAACATAAAGAAAGTGAAGGTATCAACCACCCCGGATGGGAGAGTCATGGATCTCTTCTTCATTACAGACACCAGGTTTGCCTACCTTCTTTTTCATGTTATAACCGTGTCTTGCTAACCTTCTATGATTGGTTTTAGAGCCGTATTATCTGAGACTGAATTTTTATTGCATACGGCCTTAGCTATGTTATATGTATTCTGGTTTTTAGAGGTTTACTGAATTAACTTGAAATAAACACATACTTAATCTGTAAGCTTTTGTTAATCCAGTTAACGTCCATAGCATCTCTCTTTTAAAAAACATGTTAATGTTCCAAAAGTCAATCTTAACTTTTAATTGTTGTACCTTGATCAGAGGACTTCTACATACGAACAAGAGACGGGAGGATACATATGCCCATTTAAGAGGTGTTACAGGGGATGCGATGATAAGTTGTGACATTGAAATGGTTGGTTCTGATATTACGGCATGTTCACAGGCATCTTCCTTTCTTCCATCTGCAATAACGGAAAGCATGTTCTGCTCAGAAATTCCTAATGGACCCCCAAGTGAATCACTAACTACCAGCAATATCTCAGTCGGAATGGACAACTCACTTAGTCCAGCTCACACTCTTGTCCAAATTGTTTGTGAAGATCATAAAGCCCTTCTGTATGACATAATGAGAACTCTAAAGGATTACAACATTCAGGTATCCTACTTTCACCTATAGAAATTCAGTGGTTATTGTGCACGGGTCTTAGTTTAGATGATGCTAGTTTTCCCTCTCTTGTTATTTTATCCTCGGAAGGGGATTGTTATTTGTTGCAAGTATGTCATTTGCATGCAAAAATCATCAACTCTTCACTTGTGATGCAAATGTCTACATGTTTGGTTGTCAAATTTCAATTTAAAAATTTTGGAAGCCCCAAAATTTTTAATAATTATGATACATCTGAAAATGGCAAACTGGCCAAGAAAATGTGGCCTTTAATTTGGTAGAAGTACTCTGGAACTAAGTTACGGAGTTAATGGTCTGATATCCCGAATCTTTTTCCTTAACCAGATTTCCTATGGGCGCTTTTCTATAAAACAACGAAGGAACTGTGAGATTGACTTGTTCATCATGCAAGCTGATGGAAAGAAGATAATTGACCCTAACAAGCAGAATTCTCTATCTTCTCGTCTGCATATGGAACTTGAGCGTCCTCTCAGAGTAGCTGTAGCTAGCCGTGGTCCTGATACAGAACTTCTGGTTGCAAATCCTGTGGAATTATCTGACAAAGGGAGGCCTCTTGTTTTCTATGACATCACACTCACTCTCAAGAAGCTTGACATTTGCATATTTTCGGTAATGCCTTTATCTGATTGCTAATGGACTTAAACAGTCTTTCATTATCCTTTCTACAATTTCTGGTTATATGATAAATTAGTTTAACAATAGAAAGTAGAATTTGTTTGGTAAAATTGTGAGATTGAGATGTATGTTATGTTGGTTTCATCTACTAGTTAGAATAATTGCATGGAGTGTGGAATGATGTAGCAAATTTGATGACAGAGTTGTTTGCTGATTTTGATTATGCATATTTGCATTATGTGCCATCTTTACCTTATGAATTCATAATGATTAAATGATCTAAAGTTATGCTTATACAACATCTTTTTATTTTTTTTCCAACATATTATTTCTGTTCAAGCAAGGTTAATACATTTCCCCTTCTGGGCTTTCTCCGACGATGGTTGAAGTTGTGGTTTTTATTTTGCAGGCTGAAATTGATCGGCACATGATTGGAGGTCGAGAATGGGAAGTTTACAGGGTGTTACTTGATGAAGGGGATGGCTTGTCTCTCCCAAGAAGCAAAATTGAGAAAGAAGTGTGGAAGACACTAATGGGTTGGGAGTGATTGTATAAGTGGAGACGTTTCCTTGTCCTGTAAAGTATACTTCTTCAGGCAGTTTATGTAAAGTCATATGGCAATAGGAGCCTCAACTCTTTACTAACATTTTAGAACAATCGGGCAGCAAGGTGGTGAAAGAAGAAAACCTCAAATGGGTTTATATAGCTTGAAAAACTCCATTTCAGAGGAAGATATGGAGTGAATCACTAATGAATGAGTTATCGTGGTAAACGTTTGGGTGGTATATTGGCGATGTGAGGATCCCTAGTGCAGATATCCAATGTACATAAACTCTGTATGTAGAGCCTGTGGCAGAAAACTTTCAAGGATTTCACGATCCCGTATTATAAGTTGTTCTGTAGGAGGGATTGTGAAGAAGATTTGTGTATATTAGAGGTATAATGCAAGAGACATGATAAACTGTTGTTTGCTTCATCCATCTCTTCAAAATTTATTTTCTTGAGGTTTTGTGGGAAATGCAATGGCCGGTGGGAAATAGTCTACCTGGTAACAAATTCAATGTTTACTTCGAATTTTGGTGTGTGATGTCCCCCTTAGTTTTATGGGGATGATGTTTCTGTGGGCTGAACTGTTTCTTATTATCTTTTCCTTGTCATTGCCGGGAATCAATTGTGTATGCCAATAACCTGTTTGGTGGTTCTTGTTTCACAGAGCTCCGACTGCTAAAGAAACAAAACACTAGGATGTTACATATTTGGACACAAAATATCTGAATTGATAGCAAGATATTTGTGTGTGTATATATAGTTTGGGAAAGATATTTTGTTTTTCAGATGAGACGGCTTTATACATGAAGCACATGGTTAGGTATCTTCTTCTTTTTCTGATGATGTAGAGTTGAGGAAGGGGAAGTTGCAAGAGGGTAGGCGGACATCCCCTGTGACTACCAATGTGGCAGACACAAATTTCTGTTTCTCTTTTTATTTTCAAAACTATTTATGTAGTATTATAAACATATGCATCTTTTATATCCATGTCTCTTCTTTTGGATTTTTCTCACGTGAATCTTATCCATATCCATCACTTCTATTTTGGTCTCCTTCAAATTCTCCATGTTTACATTATTTTAAAAAATTTAAAACTATTTTTCTAATTTCTCCAGTGGGAAATATTAATTTTTAAACTCAAGTCTTTAATTTCTTTTCCTTTGATATATAAAAATGTAACTACTTTTCCTCTTTATCTTATATTTCTTCAACTATTCTACTTTTACTTTTACTGTACGAGAGAAAAAGCAGTGGGATTCAAGTTTCAGAAGAATTGGACAAACTAAACAAGAAAATAAGGGTAATATGTCTATAATACTACAAGTGGTTTCTTTTTTTTGCTGCCACAGAATGTATGTATCATAGCTTCCAGTATATGCCCAGTTTGTGGAGGACGCCACTGAGTACTGCATAAAATGTAATCTGGGCAAAAATCACATACAGCAATGTCCCTAGCCTCTGAGACTTCCAAACATTGACGAAAACATGTTTCTGAATCCAATGTACCTGATCATTATATGCACAATTAGATGGCATTTCATCAAGAGTAGTGGTAGTAAACAACAAGGTCTATGAATTTAATCCGCCAGGAGAGAAGAGAAAAAAAGAAGAGGCTTTTTATATGTACTTACAAGTGTGTTATTTGGGGAGATATAAAACCAGCCATTTATAAATCCTTCAAGAATACCTTGTGCCCCGAGCACAAACACCAGCATAGCATTCATCCCTATCCATTCTAAGAATAGAAATGGAAGCCTTATTCCCCACACATCAATCTGCCCATCGTTCATAAAATTAAAAGTTCAGTGGTTGTGGTATTTTTAGTTATGAAATAACTAGTTTGGCGGTACATATGTATACCAGTAGGTAGAATACAGAGAACACAATTCCTGCAGCTCCAGCTGTGAGACAGACATAGCTGATGCTGTAAAGCTGCTTGTTAATAGGAATAGCTGCAGCAAAAGAAGGAAAAGGTTTTGTAATGTTAAGAAAAGTTCGCATGGAAACATACATATATAAATGTATAATGATAAAAAAGAAAGAATCTGACCACCAGAGAAATGAAGAATGAAGGCTAAAACAGTAAAGCCAATGGCCAAAGACACCCATTGCTTAAGCCTCTCAGAATGGCCCTGCAAAAACCATCTTCCTCACTTTCATTAAACAACAAATTATGGCTTTCAACACTGCAAATTTTGGATTTGCTAACCTTGAAATGAATCAAAACGTGTCCGTAGTGGATGCCAATTGTGCCAGAGAGGATAGCCGAAATTGTGCTAATTAAAAGAGAAAACAATTGAATCTTAGATTTTGTTCAATGTTGAATGGAATGCTGATCAATAAACAGACCGACCTCAACAAGCCTTCTGGTTCAAATGGGCCTCGACACCAGACTGGAGCATCTTCACGGAAAGGACCAGAAGCTGGAGAAGAAAGAGTGCACGCCTGCAAATTGATTGTTCCAGAATTGATCAGAGAAACTAAAAACTGATTTTCATCAAACCAAAACTTAAAAGTAATAATTCGTAACCTTTAGGCGAGCCCAAACAGGGTATGAGTAGAGATGATTAACTCCCCAGACCTGTCTGTCCACGTAACCAACAGCATTGCAGGCTGGTCCCAAGTGTCCTCTCATTCCACATTTCACCTAAACAAAAATAAAAAAAAAAATAGTAAGAGAAGAAAAATGGTGTATCTGCAAGTAGGACATTGATTGACAATGAAGCACGTACGGTGTAGCGCTTGGATTCATCGTCGCCATGTACCACAAAACTCCAGTCTGGGACATACAGCGAATAGCTTGTGATGATGTAGATGAGAAATGCGATAAACCCACCAACCCTGGTTTCCAGATACACAAGCTTCGACTAGTCTATGAATGATGATTACGGAGGGTAAAGCTAGCTTATTACGTAAATGGATTCAAGTACCATTGCCATTTATATGCAGTGAAGATGGATAAGTGTCCCGGCTTCAGAATAGTCGGTCTGCTCTTCGTGGTCAGGGTCTCTATTAGAGCTACAAACAAGTACACCACTGCTATTCTCTGCACATATATATACATGCAGAAAATAAAGTCTTCAACTTAAGAATGTTCGAAATTATTATTTTATGAATGAGTGAAGAATTTGCGAGGTGAGTGAAAGACCTGGAGGATGCCACACCAACGGATTTGTTTCATGTCGACACCATAAGCAAGCTCGTTAGGGGCGTGTGAGTACCCTCCTGCATCAATTCCATTTAATTTTTTACTCACCAGAAAAACAACATTACCCATGCTCGTTATAATTAAGGAGAAAATGGCATATTATGAAAATTACCTTGCAACAAAACCCCCCAAAATAAAAGTTTTAATGTTCTTAAAATTATCTTCTTTATGGCATCCTTCATCTTGGGGATTTTCTGCAGATTCATGGATTATGAAATTAAAACATACATGTTAAATATATTGACATTGTCTTTATATATGTAGTATATATGTCTTTAATTAGTCATAAGAGTAAATAACCACATTAAACAGCAGGAGAAAAAGAAAAAGAGAAGTTGCAGGACCTTGAGAGCTAGAGCAATTGCAACCCCAACAATGAAGAGGAAGAAGGGCATGACAAAGTCAGCCAATGTGCAGCCGTTCCATGGCGAGTGATCGATTCGCGGATAAGCTTCCCCAGCATTATCTACTAATATCATTAACTAAAATATATACCCACCATCGTTATTATATAGTAAAAAAAAGTTTATTTCTAACCACACAACCATACAACTATTATTTGGAAGGAACTAACCACTATAGTAAGACCTCTAAATGCATCCAAGGTTGCAACCCTCTTGGTCTTCGGCTTCAGCAACGGCTGCTCCTCTGCGTTCTTTTGTATTTGATCACAAACAATAACACCAGAGCTCTTCTCCTCAACTTTGGCAACTACTTTGCTTTCATCTTCAGGGCCATGCCCTAAACCTTCTTCCATTCTCTTCGGATCCGCCATACCTGTACCTCAGGGGAAAATGCTAAGTTTCTTTATGACTCTCTTTCTCTCTCTCTCTATACATATATGTATATATGTATATGTTTTATATATAATGTAATCAATGTAGATGAGGTAGCATTCAAGAAGTGAGACAATTTCTTGAACCAAGCTGCCGGCACATTTCTTTGTAGACCAACCAAAGTGACGGTCGAAATGAGACAAATAGATGGATGATGAATGACTGCAGCAAACCAAATTAAAAATGAACAATGTTTTGTTTCTTAGTTGGGTGGTCTGTGCTTGTCACAACGAAAGCTTTCTGAATGAGTGGACTGATCAACGTTTTTGTCCACTAATTTATAATTAATTGAATCTTCCATCAATCTCCTGTGTTTTGGATTCTTGGTTTGACTACTTTGATTCCTCACGATATATTATTTACTTTGAAGTTACCAATATCAACCTTGTAACAGTTACGGTCTTTGACAACACAAACAGCTAATCTAGGAGCTCATTTAATTGCAGGTATACACACACACACACACACACACATATATATATATAACAATAATAATATTGGCGTCCACTCATTAAGCTTGATTACTAACTAACTTACAAATTAACAGTCAACAGCGAAAGACGTAAAGATTAACTCATCATTCAATCAGAGAGAAACCTATCTTCATCATATATGCTGTGCCTCTGTATATTCTCTTTTGAGACAATTTACATAGCCGGCATGCATCCGCAGCCTGCAACTAATATTAGTGTCCGCGTGTGTGTGTGCATGTATATGCATGGTTAATTATCTAGGTGTATATAATAAATTAAAATATTATCTGCGCAGGTTGAGGTTGAGACGGCTAAAAAATATATACAATGTATATAAATAAAGAAAAATATAGGGTAATTTTGAAAGTATTAAAATCAGTAAATAAAAATATTATTCCACTTAATATCATGTTTTAAATTTAATCGTGAATTGAAGTTAGCGTGTGGAATGGAGAAACCCACAGAAAAGGAATCCCCAATTGTAGGTGGTCTCTTCTTTAGACATTCAAAGTTGGAACTACGAACACCATACCCAAATAAAAGATTAAGAGAAAGAAAAAAAAAAAAAGAGGTTTTAGCATCAGATGCTGATTACGAATTCGTATCATACTCGAATTCCAATCAACTTTGCATGTGTGTACATACATATATATACATTGCGTATAGCCTGTGACGTAATGCATACACGTATATATATGCCAATAGAATCTTAAAGTTGATAGAGAAGAAAATTCAACATACGTAATACTTTGAAGCAAATCTTGATCTTCTTGTTCTTAGTTTTGGTTTTGTTCTGTAGAAGCCACAAACGTGTTTGATTTCTTTTCTTCACCACATACTACGTTTGCTTTTTCTTTGAGTATTTAACACAAACTTCTGGACTGGCCGGTGACACTTGCTTGCAAATTAATAATCTTGTTTCATGTTCATTAACTTGTAAAAATATTAAAAAATATATATATATATATATATATCAACTTATTTATATTGTGATATGCGATAGTTACCAATGTCTAAAACATAAGCATGATTATAAAATTTTACATAAACATTAAAATCACACTGTTAGTAACTTAATAATGAAATTATTGATCTTCAAATAAAGTAAATAATTTGGAAATGAAAATTATTAATCCCCACTTAATAATGAAATTTTACAAAAAATGATCAAATATTATTGTTGTGAGATTCTACTGTGTGTGTTGTTGTTGCTTCCTCGGAAAGAAAGCTAGCCAGCCTTCTGAGGACCCAAATGCAATTTAATCCAACTCTAAGAACCTTGTCTATATAAACGTGTGCCTCCTCCCACATATGACCAAGCTAACCATTCTAGTTACAATCACTAGATTACCCAGAATCCCAGAAAGAACACTCAATAGAAAATTAAAAAGAAAATATATATATACATATATGGCGGTGGCTAATTCTGGTGGCCGGTGGAAAGAGATGAGGAGCTTGGGAGTCCAAGTGATTACTGGGCGGTGGTTCATGGTCTTTGCTTCACTGTTGATCATGGCAGTTTCTGGTGCCACCTACATGTTTGGTCTCTACTCAAATGACATCAAAACCTCACTGGGTTATGACCAAACCACTCTCAACCTCTTAAGTTTCTTCAAGGACCTGGGCGCCAATGTAGGCGTCCTGTCAGGTCTCATCAATGAAGTCACACCGCCATGGGTCGTCCTCTCCATCGGGGCACTCATGAACTTCTCTGGCTATATCCTCATCTGGCTCGCCGTCACCCGCCGCATTCCCCAGCCAAAGGTATGGCAAATGTGTATTTATATATGTGTAGGGGCAAATTCACAGTCTTTTGCCAATACTGGAGCTCTTGTCACTTGTGTCAACAACTTCCCGGAGAGCAGAGGAAGCGTTTTGGGATTGTTAAAGGGGTTTGTTGGGTTAAGCGGCGCAATCATAACACAATTATACCATGCTTTCTACGGAGATGACGACTCTGAAGCTCTTATCTTGTTCATTGCTTGGCTTCCTTCCGCTGTTTCTTTTATTTTCCTTCCGACTATTCGGATTATAAAGGGCGTTCGCCAGCCTCATCACTATGAACTCAAGGTTTTCTACAAAATCCTCTATGTTTCTCTTGGTCTTGCTGGATTTCTCATGGCTGTAATCATCCTACAAAACAGCTTCACTTTCACCAGAATTGCCTACATAGGGAGCGCACCGCTTGTTATTGTGCTACTCCTTTTACCTCTAGCTGTAGTGACAAAAGAAGAATTCAACATCCGGGAAGGCAAGAGACATTCCTTGACCTTGCGTGACCTTCCTAGGCTCATGGTAGTCACAAGAGAGCCGTCTGCTCTTGAGATAGCACCACAAGAAACATCCCTCCGGGCCGAGATATCGGATTTACCACCTGCCGCCTCAGCTCCGTCGAGTTCAGAGAATAAGCAAGTGTCGTGCACGGACAACATTTTCAAGCCACCAAACAGAGGCGACGACCACACGATTTTGCAAGCAGTCTTTAGCGTTGACATGTTAATTCTCTTTGTAGCTACAGCCTGCGGCGCTGGTGGCACGTTGACGGCAATCGACAACCTGGGTCAGATTGGCAACGCCTTAGGCTACCACAAGAGAAGCATCACCACCTTTATCTCGCTGGTGAGCATATGGAACTACCTCGGCCGAGTAGTTTCTGGTTTTGTCTCTGAAATGTTGCTGACCAAGTACAAGATCCCTCGTCCTCTGCTTTTCACTTTCGTCCTTCTTTTCTCTTGCGTCGGTCATCTTCTCATCGCTTTCGCCGCACCGAATTCTCTCTACTTGGCGTCGGTTATCATCGGGTTCTGCTTCGGAGCCCAATGGCCGTTGGTCTTTGCAATCATATCGGAGATATTCGGACTCAAGTACTACTCCACCCTCTACAACATGGGAGGTGTGGCCAGCCCAGTTGGGTCATACGTACTGAACGTGATGGTGGCTGGTCGTTTGTACGACAGAGAAGCGTTGAAGCAGAGGAGGGGTTTGGGTGTAGTTGGAAAAGGAGACGGGAAGGAAATGAGCTGCAGAGGCGTTGAGTGTTACAGGATGGCTTTTATGATCATCACGGGGGCGACATTGATTGGGTGCGTTGTTTCTTCAATTCTGGTAGTGAGAAGCAGAGAATTTTACAAAGGCGATATATACAGAAAATTCAGACGAGAGGGAAAAGCAGAAGAGATGAGTACAGGGGGTGGTTAATGGAAGAAGCAGTGAGGTGGAGTCGAAAGTTGGGCCGAAGCTGCCGGTTCCACCATGACATGTCATCGAGTAAGCGAACAAATTCAGTGGATTGGATCCAACTCCCACCAAAGGGAGTGCGGTGGTGTCAGGCCCAACCCATTGGAGACGACGAATCAGTTGTTATCTATTTGTTTGTAACATTTGAGATGAGGAGGGTTGTAGGTTACAGAGGAAGTGTTGACAAAAAAACAAAAAAAAAAAAAAGTGAAATGGAGGGAAGAAGGGAAGTACGAAAAGTCTAAGATTATTATTATTATTATTATTATTATTTTATTTTCCTTCCTATCAATTCCTTATTTATATAAACAATCATATTTTTATTTTAATACCTTGCTGTCCTCACATATATATATATATATATTTTTAAAAAAAAAAAAATCAAATGACTTTCAGAAATCTCTGACTTTTCCCATTTGGATTAGCCTAACTTTAATTATTTAAACAATGGGAGTAAATTTATTATTAAAAGTTGGATTACATTTATATTATCAAGTCCGTATATAATCATGATTTAACTACTAAAATAAAGACAATGAGACTTGGTATATTCTGATAAATTTAAGGTAATTATTATCTGATTAGTTTATAAGATTTTTATTTGTAATTAAGTTTTAAAATTAGAAATAGAAATTTACCAGGTGGAATTTGTTAATTAATGATTGGAAGCTACCAACCATTATCTATATTTATTCTCCCACCAAAAAATAAAAAAATCATCAAATATAAATTATTCAAATATTAATTTAATTAATCAGTTTTAAGTGAATTTTATTTTTATTTTATTTTTTTAATTATCCGTTTTAAGCTTTTCTTCTTTCCTTAATTATCCTAACTCTTTTGCACCTCACTCTCTCTTTTTACAATCCTCCTCTCTCTCCTAGGTTCTGTCGCTCAGTGGATTTGATCGCCGGAAACCGTATTCCGGTGATCTACTTCTACTGTCTCCTCCTTCCCATCTATCTTAACTTTCCAATTTCGATCAATTTCTCGATCCCCCGCCAAATTTCATTTCCTCTGCGATAATATTTTTAAAAACCAAACGACGACCAGAAAGTTACATTAAACTTTTGATCCAATTTTAGGGTTACTGTCCGTGCATGCGGATCCATCGAAGCTCCCCATTACACCCCCCCCGGCTCATCCTTCCCTCATCCTTATAGTTCATTTCCGACCAAAACCTAGGGGTTACTGTAGGAGGATCCATCGGGATAAATTTCGCTTCCCTTTTGGTCTCTCGATGTTAAAGAAGATCATAAGGGGAGGGCACCGCAAGCCCTCGAAATCGGATGCTAACGACCCCTCTCTTTACGGCTTCGGTCCGCCGGGGAGCCGTAATGCCGGGTCGGGACTTGGTTCTAATCTAGTGGTCAACCATTCCTCTCGTGCAGCCCCTGCTCCAAATTCTGCCGCCACCGGGGCGGTTGCGACCCCACCGCCTCCGCCCATGGGCTCCATGGAGCCTCTTCCTTTATTCCGTGACGTGCCCGTGTCAGAGAGGCAAAATCTGTTCTTGCGGAAGCTGCAGATTTGTTGCTTTCAGTTGGATTTCTCTGATACGTTGAAGAATGTTCGCGAGAAGGAGATTAAGAGGCAGACCCTCTTGGAACTTGTGGATTTTATCCAATCCGGGTCGGGTAAGATCACCGAGACTTGCCAAGAGGAGATGATAAAGATGGTTTCGGCTAACATCTTTCGTTGTCTGCCACCGGCATCCCATGAGAACACGGGCCAGGAAGCCACAGATCCAGAGGAGGAAGAGACGTATTTGGAGCCCTCTTGGCCGCATTTGCAGCTCGTCTACGAGCTTCTCTTGAGATATGTGGTGTCGTCCGATACCGACACAAAGGTCGCCAAGAGGTATATTGATCATTCCTTCGTGTTGAAACTTCTTGACTTGTTTGATTCAGAAGAACAGAGAGAAAGGGAGTACTTGAAGACAATTCTTCATAGGATTTATGGGAAGTTCATGGTGCACCGGCCGTTTATTAGAAAGGCAATTAACAACATCTTTTATCGGTTTATATACGAGACAGAGAGGCACAGTGGGATCGGAGAGCTGTTGGAGATTCTGGGGAGTATTATAAATGGGTTTGCCTTGCCAATGAAAGAGGAGCACAAGTTATTTCTTGTCCGGGCATTGATACCACTGCATAAACCCAAACCCGTTGCTTTGTATCATCAGCAACTGTCTTACTGCATCGTTCAGTTTGTTGAGAAGGATTACAAGCTTGCTGATACTGTGATTAGGGGATTGTTGAAATATTGGCCTGTTACCAACTGTCAGAAGGAAGTTCTCTTTCTTGGAGAACTTGAAGAGGTGCTAGAGGCAACACAGTCTGCAGAATTCCAGCGCTGCATGGTTCCTCTCTTCAGACAGATAGCCCGCTGCCTTAATAGCTCTCATTTTCAGGTTTGGGACTGAATATTTTTCCATATTATTTTGATTACATGGTAAAAGACCCAAGTTCGTTGGATAAATAAGGAATTATGGAGTTTTTGCAATAATTGGTTGATCACCATTTTGCACCTTTTAATTTGCGGAACATGGAACTTTACTGTAAATGGCTGATGATTAGTTTGTATTATATTTTTTGAGTTTCAATGGCGGTTGATGATTCCTACCTTAAATTAATCTATCTGTGCAATGGTACTTTGTCCGATCATGTAATCCAGATGTGCTTCTTGCTTCTTTGCTTTATCTGGACTTTGATTTTTCTATAATGTTTCATTGTGATTGCACCTCTGTTGACAGATAAATTTTTACCGTATGAAGAAGTTAAAGTAACACATAATACTGTAATTGGCGGCTGTTGTAAATAAATTCATAGCAAACTAATAGCCCATGCTTATTTTTATTTTATCTGTTTTCAAAGTAGTACTCTTTTCCGCAATCTGAGATTTAGGTCTTCCAACGTACTGTTTTGTTTTTGCTATCCCAGTCCAGCTATGCAAGTGACATAGAGTTGTTGACTCTCCTTTTATTTTGGCATTAGTTATGATTTTTCGCATGATGCTCACTAAAACACTCTTCTGTCAGACGGAAAAGAATAAAAATATTAACTGAGGAAAATATCTTGTTTAACACTTGAGGGCTGTGTCTTTTGCACATCGGTACGTGTATTTTTTGTTGCCATCATCATCTTCTATAAAAATGTGTCAGTAGTTCTTCATTACTAGTCATAGAGTCGCCAAGGGAATATTGCTTGGACCATTCTTTTTTTCCTCTTGTATTCTGTCCACTTGATATCTACTATTAAATTTCTATAAAAAAATTAACCAGGCCTAATTTTCCCTGAAGTTGATGATTCTTAATGTTCAATTGCTTATACTGACTTTAGGCAAAGTGAATTGTTAAGTGGTTTGTGGGTTGATATGATCGTTAAAAATTGGAATCCGGACATAGTAGGTAAATCTGTTTTTGAGATGGCAAGATTTGATGTTTGGTGCACATGCCAGCAAGACAACTCTGTGAATGTGGCTATATGAATAAGGCACTGTGATTTGTTAATGTGTTAGAACCTATTATATGCCCCTTGACATGATTTCTTGTAGATGAACCATTGTTTGAGAATTCAGTGGCTTGCTTAGTTTGGCATTAGGCAGGATGGTTAGACATAACATTTGATAAACTAAACTCTGAGCAACTAATATTGCAAGAACTTTCGTGGTCAGTTGTTGTTTGGAATTTGCACAATCCAAAGTGATACATCTTCTGTTTGTTCAAATATATTGGACTTGAATTGGCTTAAAGATTTTGTCGAGGTTCAGTTTGGACTTGAGTTCGCTTCGTCTATAGAGAGACAAAATTAGGACTTGGTGTGATGAAAGCTTGGTAAAAAGCAGAGCTTTAACAAAACTCAAGCTTGAAGGAGCTTGAAAGAGAGACGTAATCAAGCTCAATTATGCTCATTAAGGTGCACATTTAGACTTCTCTTTTAAATAACTAAAAAATTAAAGTATATAAATAATATATATATTTATATCTTTAAATTATATATAAATATTTAGCATAATTAACTTAAGATATCAGTCTATTCTAAAAATGTTATATAAATATATGATAAAAGAATGTCTGTGAACTTTGATCTAAACAATTTTATGCTTGAATTCGGCTTGTTAGCTAAATAAACATTTTTCAGGCTTCTTTGGCTTGACTTTGATTTTGACTGAGGTTACTTGACTATTTGAGCCTGAACGGTCTGATATTGGGCATGGCTGCCACCTATATGGTGCTGGCTATATTCCATGGAGAAAATATTAATAATTTTCTTTTTATATCTAAATCTTTGAATTGTTAGGAATCAAAGTTTAGTTCAATTGGTTAGATTTTTCTTTCTTGGTGACCCTAAGGGTTTGTAGATTTTTACCAATTGATCTCAGGTCACTTGATGGAGATTTAATATTGTGCATTATCTGCATTCTAGAATTGGTGGATGGATTTTTCTTTCAAGAAAAAAAAGAAAAGAAAAGAATTGGTTGATGGATGAAGCCAGCAGGATACAAGTCCCATTTGTCAATTTCTAAATTTATTCAAAGGCTTTCCTTAGGTTATTTTTAACTTTGTATTGCAGGTTTCAGAGCGAGCCCTCTTTTTGTGGAATAATGAACACATAGTGAGCTTAATCGCCCAGAACAGGTCTGTCATATTGCCACTCATTTTCGAGGCATTAGAGAGGAATATTCAGAGTCATTGGAACCAGGCAGTTCATGGACTCACTCTCAATGTTAGAAAAATGTTTTTGGAAATGGACACTGAGCTTTTTGATGAGTGTCAGAGGGAGTTTGCAGAGAAAGAGGCCAGGGCCAAGGAGGTGGAAGAACAGAGAGAATTGACATGGAAGAAACTTGCAGATGTAGCAGCAAGGAAAGGAGGAGAGGACATGGTCACTGTCTAATTTGATTACTCAGGGTTGGATCATCCATGACAAACAGTCAGATAGATGGGGGTTGACAGGACGTAATCCTTCCCATTTTGGTGGTATTCTTTCTTTTTATTTTGTTTTTTTTTTTTTCCAACTTATTCTTCTCTCCTTTTATTTTTTTGATCTCAAATTCCATCATTATTGGAGATAGCAGAAAGCGCAAGATAAATGTAATTTAATTTGTATGGAATTTGTTAGTAATATGCTGCAGATTAAGAATGATTTGTGAAAAATGTCTTTGTATTTCTTTCGTCTTTAGGGGTTATTACCCATACAGGGAAGTCCGAAGTTTCATTAGTTTTGAATATCTCAAAAAACTGGACCTTTTTACCAGATGCAAGGAATGTTATTGAGGAAGGCAGGCTTTGCTGTGTTGCTGCAAAAGGTGGTAGGTATGGGGGGAGGCTTAAGAATGGTTGTGTGAGAAAAAAAGTGTTCTAATAAAAGCATTGCCCGTAGTTATTGAGATTGAAGTATATGTGGAATCATTGATGCTGTTTCAGAGACCCGTCAATCTAATGCTGAAGAATGTTCAAGGAGATGAAGTTTGCTTATAACTCAAAGCTTTTGGCTTCTTAATATTTGTAAATATTCAACTTCAGTGTCTTGAAATAACTGGTGCTTTTGTTATTTTTATAATCATGGGGCGAGCTGTTGAAAGATGTGTTTTTTTGTTTCAAAAAGTAAGAGAAGTTGGATTATGTTATTTTTTTTAGTATAGGGAAAGCCTGGCATTGATTTGCTTTTTCAAGAGAGTTAAATTTTATTAAGAACTTTCAGATGAATTGGTAGTTGTCGAGAAACTTGTTTGTTTTTATTAAAATTATTTAACATCATTCAATACCTAAAATGAATTATTTCAGACAATGAAAACGAAGATTCATCCAAAGCGACATAAAGGGAATTTTCTATTTCTTCTTTTCAAAAACAAACTAATAAAGAGGGAAGCGGAGAGAAAAACATCGACAGAAGATTTTGGATTTGGTGAGCCTGTGGATTTTCCCGACTTCCTGTTGTTGGCTCTGGTAGGATTAGGATTTGGTAATAAATATATGGCATCCACAATTTAAAAGCGAATTCCGAACCCCATACTCCAAGACAAACCCTATCCACAACACCAATCTCCTTCTCTGCTCTACCGAAACTTCACTTCTCTTCGTTACCCCCTGCTACCTAGACGAAGAAGAAGAATCAGAGCAAAAATGTCGAGAAAAGGAGGGGCGATACTCGCCAAGGATGCCCCGTGGAGGGTTTCAGCAGAGAAGCCCATCCCTAAAATCCATCACTCCCCTCTTCTTCGTCTTCCCCAATCTCCTCATACCAATTACGCCCTCTCCATCATGAAGGTTGCTTCTCTCTCTCTTCGCATGCATGCAGATGTGTCAATGTAGAAATTGGTCTCTTGTTTATTTTTTTTAATTGAATTTGATGTTTTCATGTGGTTTTTGGCAGCTCCCAGACCCCATTGGTAGTGGCTTAGCAACGGAAGCCATCGTGGAAGCTGCAGGCCCGGAATGCATCGTTCCTGGCCAGATAACGCCTGTTCAATTACTGGGTGTCAAGGTGCTTTTTCGACACAGTTATCTCCTAATTTTTCTTCTGATGATTTGGAGGTTTTTTTCTTGTCTGTTCACCGAGCATGTGGGTTGTAGTTCATTAAATAATTGGCTAAATCATGAATGAGTTTCCCTACTTGCATTAGTTGTTCCCCTTGACTGGGCCAGTTTTCATGCGTTGGCACTTGGATCTTATTTTCTTGGTCTAACAATCCACAAGTACACAAGTTTAATTCACATGTGAATTTCTTTTTCTTTTTCCAGGAACTGAATTACTAAACTTTATACATATTAGTGTTACTAAACTTTATGAATCGCATTTTTCTCCGATAATGGCGACTATTCATCTTTCTCTAACTGGCTGAGCTCTTAAATAATCCAGAAATATTTTCAAAAAACCAAAAATCTATAGATATTGTCAACATCGTATTATACATTCAAAATGTGGCACGCCATGTCTCAATTATACTGACTGACATTAGCTTCTTAATTTATGAAACTAAGATCTCTGCCAGGCCCCACTATAAGGCTAGACTAAAGAAATAATGAGGTTTTGATTCCTGTGGCAGACACAGCATGACCTTCTTTGGGGTGGTTCGTCCCACATTAGTTGCTTTGCTTTAGATAGTTTCACTATCACTTCAGTTTACTGGGTTCTAATTTAAACCCTTTTCTTAATGACAATCTGTCAAGTCTATGGTAGAAAAACTATTTCTTCCTCTGTTCAGAGATTAACATTCTGATCAATCCAGTACCTGTCAAATGAGTGGAATTCAGAATGTTTAGAACATGTCTCTTGGAGAAGCTTTGGCAAAACATGATAATCTCGTACTTCAGCATCATTGAAATAATTTGAAGATTTTCTCTGAATAGAAAGGTTGGCAAACATTGTGGTGGCACCAACTATTTTAGCCTATTTTAAGAAAGGAAGCATCTTTGATGATTCTTTCTTTCTCGTGACTTAACATTTTGAAGGTTGATATTTCACTAGTATCTGTTAGTTTTAGCTGCATTAAACAAGACTCTCTTTACTCTAGTCATTTTTTCTTGTGTTTAAATTTTTGTTCTTAATGTCCTGTTGGTTTGTTGAGGTAAGCACAGTAAGATTGTTACTTGATTCTTTCATTTGCTTGGTTTTAAAAGAACTGGTTATCTGGAATCCTTTTAGAATTCAATTTACCCAATCAAGTTTATTATTTTTCTCATTTCCACTGCAAACATGAGCTCTTTTTTTGGTGGAAAAAAGACTTCAATTTTTTCTGATGTCTGTTCAAATGTTCCTAAGAATTAGTATTTACAAGTCTGTACAAGAATATGTCAATAACAATAAATCCTCTACTTTTATTTAAGGCTAGTTTCGGGTCCAAACTCTTGAATGCTTCTAGCATTTTTTCTCTGTTTCCTCCTTAAAGCTTCTACATATGTGGGCAGGTGTGGCCTATCGAAGTTGATCTTAAATTCTTGGAACCAGTTGGAAAGCAAATGAAGTCACTTGGGAAGGTAAATCAAATTACTGTTAGAAGAAAATTTATGCAGTTGAATCTATTAACATGCTCTCATCTAAAGCCTGTTGAAGCTTTTTAAAATTCTTTTTTTGAATTCTTTTATTAGCATAAATGACATTCAAGTTCAAGAAGCGGCAAGATTATGCCCATTAGTACATTTCGCAAGTTTTTTGCAGTAGAAAGTGAGATGTAATATGGCTCTATGTTTTACCTATTGAATTGATCTTTTTAATTTTTTTGGGTTTTGGGGGGAGGGGGGTTGCAAGAGGAAAGATATTCTAATCTCTTGTCTGTTGCCATTTGAAGATGGTTCATCTTTGTATGAAAGCATTATTAAAACCCCTGATTCATCTTCATTGTTTTTAAGAGTCTATGCTAATCGGAAATGCTATAGAAACAGAGCAGTTTCATGCTGAGGGGATTCCTTTTGGCTTTACCTACTTTTCTATCCTTTCCTTTAAGCGCATTTAGAGCACTAAAATACTTGTTATGGATTATGGCCTGTAAATAAATGACATTTTGCCAAGGGAAATGTGGTAGGTTATTGACTGAGTGGTCTTATATCTGAGAATTTCCGTGAAGTGTGTTATTGTATGTTTTTTCATTGAATGTAAACCATTCAATTATCCATTTATTGTGATTCGTGATGGTTTGATATCGTTGGTTGTTTCTTTTGTTTGTGCAAATGCAGTTCATGGATGGTGCTGTCAACCTCATGAATAATTCCTTCATAGATCGGTAGTGGCTCCAGATTTTGTGGCACATTAAGTGTATGTTGGGAATTGCCATGGCCACTAGAGGAGAGCGAAAGCATAGCAATGCACGGTAACTGTAGATAAAAGGTGCTTTTTCTCCCGAGATCAATCTCAGAAGAAGTAATGAGTTTTGTTTTGGAACTTGACATAAAAAGATACCTTTGTTATGCTCCTTCGGCTATGTAAGTTGTGTTATACACATTTCCCTTGTTAAGTATAAGTACAGTGACCTGTTATTTACTTAAATAGTAGCAAATCTTGCTTATTTTATTGATTTACATGTATCACATATATTCTTGTAGATGAGAACATGTTAAATTATTGGAAAAGAAGCCACCTTGGTGAAAAATGTTGTTTGTGCTAGTTTTGAAGCGGAGTCGTGGTGTATCAGCTTTCTCTGTTTTAACCACCAAGCCAATTCTATTCCTTACAAGTTTTTAGACTATTTTCTAGCCTATTTATATGATTGACTCAAATTCAAAATCGTGGCTTGGTGGAAATTCAAGCAAGTGTGGAACTTAGATCTGTTTACAATTGAGCTTCTACGTGTCTGAAATTGAACTCGAGTTCAGTGAGACATACTATATGTCAATTTTGGATTGAATTGTCCTGAGTCTACTACCATATAATTACAGTCCAGTTTAAATCGAAAGAAGGGTTGAGTTCAAATTCAACAGTATTCAATTAGACTCACTGAATCTCATGAAAGATCAGTGTAAGTTTGATCTCATTTCCGAGGGAAAGGTAACCATCTTTCTTCCATAACCTGTACAAGCATTTATTTGTTATAGTATTCTATAAGACTCTGTTTGGTTTATGAAGTTGCTAATTCTTTTTTTCTTTTTCTTTTTCTTTTTGTTCTTGGTCTTAGCATAATATGGATAATGAAAGTATAATTTGTGTGTTACAGAGTTCGAGTTTCCACCTTACTTTAAATTCTTTTGGTTGGAATTCGACATATACACATCCATCTCGAAAGGCAAAAATTGGCTTTCAAGTCAAGAAACTTGAGTTCAAACACGATAAATTATGTGATCGGAGCGAACTTGTGACAATATTAATATAATTTTAATTATCTTTCTTCAATTTGCACTCATCAAGTGGATATTTTGAACTAAAAAACACAAACAAAAACCAGATGCTATCTATCGACCATTTCAATCATTTGAAAACCATGGCACGTACAATGGGCGGATGTGGTGAATGGCAAATTTAACAATGACTCAGCTGCCGCTTAGTCAACAACTTTAACTCGAAAAGTTCCGAAATTTATATCGTTTCTGCTAATCAATCACTGAATAGTAATAACAACGATAAAGTATTCATACAATTAATCTTGATGCTTATTTACTAATGGCAGACAGTAACTGTACATATTTGTATATTTATAAACTTATACTAGTGATAGTCGTGGAGTCAGCCAAGTAGAACTTCCGCACATAGTGCCAAATAGGGATGATGCAAGAAAGATGATATAGAAGTCGAACCAAATCTTAATTAACCAAGATTAGAAAGATTGATGAAGGACCTAACTAGCAAAATTAATTAGCTTGATTTCATGTGTTAACCAATTGTGGACTTGCCACAAACTAGTGTTCTCCAGCTATGGTGCCATGTAAGGTTTTCTGGTCACCCTTTTTCTTTTATTAGTTTTCTTTCTGCATGCTTTTTGCCACCTTTTTAACTCTATATAAAAAAAAACTTAAACGTCTTTCAAACTTCACTGCAACTGAAGAGATGGTTTGTCGAGCATCCATGAAAGAAGAAAAACCGCGTAGAGGGCCATGGCTGGAGGAGGAGGATGAGCGACTAACCACCTTTGTAAACCTTTTAGGTGAACGAAGATGGGATTCAATAGCGAGAGCATCAGGTAATTAATTAACTATTTTAATACCGATCAGGGAGATGAACATAATCCAAGACTCATTAATATTCCTTTTGTAAATAAGATTATTAGTAGTCCTTAATGTTTTATACTAATTACAGGTCTAAAGAGAAGCGGGAAGAGTTGCAGGTTGAGATGGCTGAACTATCTTCGTCCTAATCTTAAACATGGGGATATTAGTGAGGAAGAAGAGCAGATCATTATCCAGCTTCATCAGCAATGGGGAAATAAGTGAGGATCTCCTTCTTCTTAATCTGAATATCTTTTGTTTGAATAGTCTAGCATAAATGCTTCCTGTCCAGCATTAACAAAGTCTGCCCTTTTTTACAGTACATACACACAACACAAACAGATATATATGATCTGATAACCTCATTACCAAATCATCTTTTCCTTGGCCTTACTATTTTTTCCGAATGCTTATCCCATAGGTGGGCAAAAATTGCTCGAAGATTGCCGGGAAGAACAGACAATGAGATCAAGAATTACTGGAGAACTCATTTGAGAAAGAAATTACAAGTTGAAGAACAAGGTTGAGTACTAGTGAAATCATTCCGTTCTGCTTTTTATAGTTGATATATATCAGTTCAATGAATATTCTGCTAACAATGTACCTTAGTTATTCTTCAGTACACTTCCAGGCTGGAAGAAACAACGGCAAGCAAGAGTTCTTGTATGAAAGGGATGATGGTAGCATCTCAATATGTCAAAGTCAAGACTTGAGGCCAGCTGAGGATACTTGGGAATCCCAAAACATTAACTATCCTAACGATGGGATTGGAAACTATTCCTTTTCGAGTTCGCCATGCGAAACATGGATATCAGATTGGATATCGGAGCTGTCAAGTGATCAAAGCCTAGTAAAATATCATCAAGATTATAGCATTTACAGTCCAGGATGGATTTCTGAGGAGAGTAATATATGGGATTATTCAGGCCCTCTCTGGAACATGAACTGAGGTTATACACTTGATTTTGCTTCTTAAATGTTGTAAAAACAAAAAAAAAAATTCCATGTAAATGAAATACATCATTCCTCTAAATTCATAAAGCTACATTTATTGTTCTTACCAACTAATTAGCTTTTAATTAAAATTTTCCGGAGTATAAACTGCATGAAGTTAAAGATTAGTGTAGAAAGGGGAATGAATTGAGTAATCAATGATATGATGCCAAGAAAGAAACAGAAAAAAGATGAGTTCACTACCACTAGCTTTTACGGTAATGGGAAGTGATAGAATGGATAAGTTTATATATTAATATATATATATATATAAAATATAAGTCTAAGCTTTTTCTCTAAGACAAAATCCTTGACCAATCTGCAAATTGTATATATCAACTACCTGACATTAATTCATACATTCAAGAAGCTAAAGATTCAATATTGAATTTCTTGAAAAATATTTATGCACTTCAAACTGAGGAAAAATGCTCCTGATCATCAAAGGATAAACCAGATGTACGAGTGTCTTTTGTGATCATCAATGGCAGTGCCCCAGACTCCATACGATTCTTTTTTTTTGGAAGTAATTTTTTTCTTTTCTGTAGAGGAACAGAAAGGAAATAAATTATCAACCTACTGTATTTTCTTTGAAATACTTTCCTAAAAAAGAAGTCCTTTATCACTTCAACTGCTTTTCCAAGTGATTTTTCATAAATATAACTTGTTTTACTTTGTTTCTCTTTTGGAAAACCCAAGAGTAGATTTGACCCAGAGATTTGCCGATTGCATTTAGCCGAATGCATTGAGCTTAATTAAGCTGGCTGGTTAATATAAGTTCGTAGTATAATTAGGATGAGTTAATCACTCTTAACCAACACCAATAAATCCAATAACCAATAATTGCAAAGGGCATTCTCATCGTGTCCCTGTTTCTTTCGCTTTTTTGTTTCTCATTTTCTTTTCTGGGAAAGAGGGGGTGTACCAAGTAACAGTTCCTTAGCTAGAAAAGCCATATAAGTATAATTATATAGGCTACATATGGTTCTAATGGGCCAGAGTAAGCAAAGTATATATAATCATACATATATAATATACATTCTTGAAAAAAGGTGTGAGGATAACTTAAAACATATACACACACACATATATATATCCATTTAGCAACTACTAGATTATGGGATGGGGAAGTAGCATAAAACCTACTTGAAGTGAACATGCCTTTAGGGACGTTACACACATATATATATTTTCCTTTCTATGGCAAAAGGATGATCGTATCCCCTTCTCTCTTTTATATATATATATATATATATATATATATGTTCTACTTGAAGAACAGCTTCGGTTAGTTTATTAAAAAAAAAAAAGGGGGGAAAAGATGGAAGATAAAATTTAGATAGCAAAACCTACCAAGAGTACATCAGCATTTCGCTATGTGTCAAGTCACTAATGATTATTTAGATAGTGTCTGTGTGTGTATGTATAGGTTAGCTTTAAGAACTGAATAGATATATATATATATATATATTATAGGGAAGAGAAAGCAGCATAGCATATCTATGGAATGTTAAAAAAAGAATGAAGTTGAAGTACATGATGGAGTATGTGCAGGTGTAGTTAATTGGAGTAGGAAACTAAAGAACAAGTTGTTTATAAGTGAGAAGGCAGATTACACAAGAGATTCTGTCTTACCAATTTTTCAAAAGATTATATCACCAATTAAATATCTTATCTTCGTTCATCTCCTCCCTCCTCTTTACATCATAATTCAACTTGCTAATACACACACCCATTACGTCTGTTCACAAAATATATATATATATATATATATATGTTTTTTTTATCATTTTTAAGTTGATTTTTATCTATAAATAATCCTTTATTTGAATTTTTTATTATAATAATTATTTTTTTTTACCAAAAAAACAGATAGTGAAAATGTGATGGGTGCCTTTATGATTTTTTGGGCATAAATTTAAAATCAACTAATTATTTTCTAAGTTGGAAAAATCAGGTTTAAGATGCTTGGCTCCTCTTAAACTGAACGTTTGTATGAGGTCGAGAGAATGCCCAGCGGGCTGAATTTTGTGAATGGTGGGCCGGATTAACCCTAATAAATCTGCGTAGGGCTTTTCACAGTATTGACTCCATTACTTGGAGTTTTTCAGATTAAGACTAAAGATTAATGGTGCAAACAAAAAGGGGAAAGAGAATTGTTGGGTGTGCAAAGTTGCAATAAAATCGGAAGTGGATTACAAGAATAAGATAAAGCATGCGAATGCGGATACGAGAAAAATGGGACTAGGGATTGAGGAGTGAGTGGAAGCGGCCATGTCATCGGTGTAGTCGTCGTCCGCCGGTAAGCCATGGTGTCCGTCGTTAGGTCCGGTGCTCCACATCCCAAGGTTGTTGCCCCTGCCTCCGACGCCAAGAACACCGGAGTGCATGATGAGGAGATCAATCAGGACGGCAGATTTGGGCTCCACACTGTAGGCTTTCTCGTACTTCACCTCAACACCCTGTCCCGATGCCACAAAGAACGCCCCGTTCACCATTATGTCTCCTTCGGATCTCCAGTTCCAATCTTTCCATTCTCCTTCTCCTGTCTCCACTCTCTTCGTCACCTGCACTCCACACCCACCATCATTTTTTCTTTTTTCTTTTTTCTTTTTCGTCAAAGTAACAATAATTAATAATTTTCAATAAACAGGAACACGGTTCCCTACGGTCAAGAAAATAAACCCCACTTTCAAAATACCTTAATTTTCGGTCATCATTACTTCTTACGCCCTACGCTCTAGGTCCCTTTTGAAGAAAAATGAAAGGAACAAAAAAAAAAAAAACTAGTGAATAGTGGTAGTTAATACCTCCTTGGCATACGGATTAGAAGGAGCGGTATAGCGATTGCCCTGGCTATTAATGGTGGGGTTACCGCTTCCGCCGATGGCATACATCTCCCACTGAGTAAAATCATTGTTCACCACATGGATGTACCCAAGCCGGCACCTTGGCATCCTCTGCACCAGCTTCTCCCCAAAATGGTTGAAAGCGATTGTCACCTGCATCCCCGAGTCCGGTAGGTAGTCGTCGCTGTGACCCAGCAGCATCACCTCGTTGTGGTGCGAGAAGTAGTTGTTGGATATGGTGATCCCCGTCGACCCCATCACTGCGTCTATCAACCCGTCCTTGCATCTCGAAAGCGAGCAATGGTCTATCCAAATGTCCTTGGACCCGAATATCGATATCCCATCGCCGTCTGATTTCGTCCGCCACCCGTAATGCGATGGACTCGAACGCACGTTAGCATTCCCCGACTCCACGCAATGGTGAATGTGAATGTTGTGGATAATCACATTGGTTATATACTGCAACGTAATGCACCCACCACCCACAATGTGAACGTTAGCTCCCCGCCCATCCAGAGTCTTGTAGCTATTGAAAATCAGCTCTTGCTTCAGCCTGATGAGCATGTTACTGGGAAACACGATCCACAGAGGCTGAGGTTGTATCACTGCGTATCTCAGTGTCCCTGGCTTTGGGTTCACTGCATCGTCGTCTGATGAATCAGTCACGATGTAGTATTCTCCACCTTTGCCACCCATTGCGTACTGCCCGAAACCTATGGCGCAGTCTGCTAGTCTCTGGCGGTCGTTGGGCCAGTTTGGGTCGCATTTCCAGCAGTCGTCTATGGGGTTGCCGGTCAAGCACGACGACTGTTGGTCCTCTTGGGTGTATTGTAGCATTTGCCTTCTTGTCAGTGAAGCATTTACTCTCCTGCGTCAGTGGATAGCAAAAAGACAGATCCTTTAAGATACGGAAATTTAAATGTGCCCACCAACATGAAGGGCTAGTAATTTGTTGCACCGTTGTAGCCCAAAAACTGGGAATGAACTGAACTAAAATTGGAGAAAACTAAGAATTAAAAACATGAGCGAATGAAAGCATAAAAGTGAAGAAATGAAAATGAGAATGTTAAAAAGTAAAAAAGAAAAAAGCATTTGAAGAAATTAGATAAAGTAAAGGTTAAAGAAGAGAGCTTTGGAGCTCAAGAACCGAAAAATGCAGGATCTTGAACAACTTGTAGAGGCGAAAGAAATAAAAGAATACCTGTGAACATCTTGAACAACTTGTTCAGGATTAGGATGCGGAGTGGGAAGAGAGATATTGAAGATTGCTGAGGCAGTTTGAGAAAATGAGCAAAGAAGAGAGAAGAAGAAGACAATGCAGGTTGTCTGAAACATTGTAGGCGAACAAGGAGAGTAATTTGAGATGGATTTAGGTGGTAAGAAGTGAGTTAAAAGGTTGGAGGGAGTAGAGACAGAGACCAGAAGGAAGAAGAAAGATGAATGGGTGCCTCACTCCAGTGTCTCCTGATTCGTGACTTTATTTATTTATAATGATGGTAACATACTTTTTGGGATTTCGCTTATTATTAAAGGTTGAAAATAAGAGAAAACGTTGTGAAGGTGAATGGCCCGCTCTAAGACAAAAGTGGAAGAAACATTGGTCGTTATTAATGTACACGCATGACGAGCAGAGCAGTAGACACGAATATCCTTGTTGACCGTTTTGCCAATTTACCTTTTCCTGGCCTGCTCTTCCTCTGCTCTATTTCCCTTGCCCCCACTACCCAATACATATCTTTTCACTTCAATCCAGACATACATCAGAATAATATAATCTTTAGCATATAATGATGATCTTTACCAAAAGAATTAACAGATGATTCAGCATAATACAAGTGCAGGGTTAATTTGCTACTCCTTCACATCGTAGGGTAATGACCTTACCCAGTTCACATTGCCATCAAATCTTTACCGGGCATCCTTCTTATTTCTTACAAATGTATTTTGCAGTGACGAACGGTGAGCCTAGAATTGAGAGATTGAAAAAAACAAAAACAAAAAAAGAATACCACAATGCGTTATTATAGTCCATTCCCATTGTTAAGTTCTTGTTTCCTATTCTGGGTTCTCTCTCCTCGCCTTTCTACTACTCCTTGACGATCAATTTTCGCAAAGCAGGCAGTTCTTTCATTTCAGAATGCCCAAATGTTTCAACATAAAAGCTGTGTTCATATTCCTTTCCTCTGCAACAGGTAAAGCAGAATATATATACAGTAACCCTGCCCTCTCTCCCTCCCCCCCCAAAAAAAAAGAAGAGGGAACTAAATTAACTAAAACTGGGACCCTCCCATCAATTAAAGCTTGATTAATAATGCATCCATCATCTACTGTGATAATTATTGCTTCTTTTTTTGTTTTATTTAACACATATACCCAGTATATTAGGGATGCAAACTCTGAATGCGGTTCCCAAGCAGAAGCCACAGATATCTCAATTTTTCTTTGAACCTTTTAACTTGTGTCGTCGTCTCAAACGAATATATATATATATATTACTGAATATTTTAATCCAACCCAAATACTAGCAGTTTAACTATTGAGCCCTGTGCCGTTCGCTCATACCAGGAACCAGGCATATAATTAAGAAAAGTGGGGCCCAGTCCAGGGTGACTTAGTTGCTCACGTGGACCCCACGACTGAAAATCCTTTTGACCCTTTTCATCCTTGCACTGGTAGCCAGCAAGAAATTATATTTGTTCATAATAAACACGTATAAATAGTATATATATATATATATATTATTTTTCAATAATTTAATATCAAAATTATGTAATTAAAACGATATATTTGTTGAAACCCTAAATCAACGCCATAGAAATATTAATTGGTACGTTGTTACGTGAAGAGCTCATTTGATTCTGTCAAACGTGCATCCAGCGGGGTTGTCAAAAAGTTCAGAAAAAGATCAAAAATCCAAAAACTTATCCAAATAATGTTAATGGAAATTTTTTATTTTAGAACAAAAATATTTACAAGAGAGGCTGGCGTGCGCCCCGCCCGGAGGATAAAAAGAACCTCTCAAATATTTGCTTAAATCGCGCAAAACTTCGCACCGTATTTGATTTTAAAATCATTCTGTTACCAACCAACACTGCTCTGTTCAGTTTGTTGAGTTAATTTCGATTGAATTACGGAGTTTAATGTATCCCACACCTTCGTTTGAATGATTTTTGGACTCGTTTAGTTCGATATATGCACACGCAGAATACATTCGTTGTTTGAAAGTATGCGGCAGATGGCTCCCCTGCAAACAAATTAAAGAATTTGGAGTTGAATTTATTATAATTTTCTTATATCGTGATTGGAAAAAGTGTTAAAAATTTGGTCGCTCTGGTTAACGAGTAATTTTATTCTTTGATTTGGTTGGTATGCAAAAAAAAAAAACTCCGAAGTGCAGTGTATATGTTTTACGGCAGAATCAAAGTCAATTATATTTGATAGGATTATAAAAATGGCACTATGATATATATATATATATATATATATGTTATAGTTCTTCACTTCCCCGTGTGGTCCAACCTTTTTTTCACCTTCCATGCTAATGGCCACTCTTAAGAATCATCTAACATTTTATTATTCTGAAGCGTAGCATTAATCGTACATTAAATTAAAATACAGTGATTTATTATATCGACACGTAAAAAATTTAAAATTAGAAGAATTTTTATTCAGTTTTATAAACAGTAGAGATCAACAACATATATATATTTATCACGACGTAACAAAATTAACTACGACAACCAATTTTTTGTTTTTATTGTTTTGGGTATATATATCTATATATATATATATATATATATCGGTCGATATACGTTTTGTTGAAGCCAAGAAACTGGTCGGGAATTGAATCTTCCAGTTTTCTTCATCAATCTGTTTACACAACCACAACCACAACCACGATCATATATAAAGGCGTTGTTGTGTGTCTGTGTCTTTGTTTGTGTGCGTGTGTGTGTGTATCTCCAATCTCCCGGGCGGGGCGCCGTTGTAATTAGTTGTGGTGGGTTTTGGTTGATTTAAAGATGAAGCATCCGACGTCGGTTACAGCTCTCCTACTCTTAGCTTTATGTATATTTTCATGGCTTCAGACATCAATCTCACAAGAAGTTGAAGTTGGAGAGGATGTTCCACTTGAAGTCGAAATGGAAGTTGGTAATAATTAATTAATTATAATTTGGTGTTATTCTTTATGATTTTGGGATGTGTACGTGTATGTATATATGTGTGTGTGTGAATGTGACGGATGCAGACGACGAGAGGGAGTTCGATTATATAAAAGGGAGCAACAAGGGACCGGAGTACTGGGGAGATCTGAAGGAGGAATGGGCAGCCTGCAAGAAAGGCGAAATGCAATCTCCCATTGATATGTCCAATGAGAGGGTCACCATTGTTCGTGAAGCACGCGACATCAGGAGGAAATACTTCCCTTCCCCTGCAATAATCAAGAACAGAGGCCATGATATCTCGGTATGTTTATTTTTCAACCAAAAATACTTCCTTCATCGTCAACTGCACGCTCTTCTTTCTTTTATCCAACCAAATTTCTGGGTGCTCACAAAACATTATATTTTCATGAAAACTACGCAGATTCAATGGCCTGATCTTAAAGCAGGAAGGATCAGGATAAACGGTACCAGATACCTTTTGCAACAAGGCCATTGGCACTTTCCTTCAGAGCACACCATCAACGGCAGGAGGTCCCGCATATATATTCTTCTCCTGTTTGACATCCCATTTTATTTTGTTTCGCGAATAATCACTGCCATTTGTTTATTTCAACTATTAGATTTGATTTGGAGCTACACATGGTTCACATAACCTCAGATCCTCAAGCCAAATATAAGATAGCTGTCATCACAGTCCTCTACAAGATCGGTCTTCCTGATCCCTTCTTGTCCAAGGTCAATCCAGAAATACTCCCCAACAAAATGATGTTCTCCGTATCTATCTTCTACCCAACTGTTTTCTTCATATTCAAATTCTAACAAACTCTCCTCCCAACTACTTTTGATTTTTAGCTGATCGGGAACATAACCACCATGAACGATCAACTCGAGGAGAAAACCATGGGGGTAATTGATCCAAATGAGATCAAGGCAAGAGGAAGAGAGTATTACAGATATATTGGTTCATTAACTGTCCCTCCTTGCTCTGAAGGTGTTATCTGGACAATCTACAAGAGAGTAAGCACTTGAACTATCTTTCGTGAAACATCTCTTTCTTTCTAAATTTCAACTTATTACTTTATTATAAGTAATCTTGCTTAACTTTTAATTACTTTCAGTTAAGCACTGTTTCGAGAGATCAAGTAAAGGCATTGAGACTAGCTGTTCATGATGTAAGTAACAGTAAGACCTGACCTGTAGGGAAATTTTACGATGCCTGTGAAGCAACTTTCCAGAATTTAGAAGTAACTAATATGTGATATTTACAGTACGCAGAGGAGAATGCAAGACCAGTGCAGGCACTGAACGACCGAACCATCAAACTCTACAGTAAACATGACCCGCCAAAATAATGCAAGCTGATTTATTCAAAAATAATTTATCAAGTACATTGCTTCAATTTTTACCCCCCCCCCCTGCGATGGTTATCCACGTAATATGTAAAAAAGGGCAGGACTAGTACTAAATATGATGTCTTGTTGCTATGTATCTTTTTTTAGTGTGATTCATACTAATGAATGAATACCAATTTTCTTCTCCAACATAAAATTGCACAGTAATATAATCCTACTTTATTTTCAAGTGATTAAACCCTATAACCTGATAATTAGATGGATGATCAGCTGGATCCTACTATCCTCTGTCCTTATAGATAGAGAAGTCCCCGTGGATTACACAACCAGCAAGCCAACCGAAACAATATGCAAGGAACAGAGAAATTGATATTCTGCGCCTTCCCTCCAGCTACCTTTGACAGACATACGAAAAATACATAAAACATTACTGCAGAACCTTCAATTGAGAAGTCAGTCACCTAACCAAGTCCACAACCCTGGATGAACATGTCGTAGGCCCTCCCCGTGTCTGCCTTGTGTTGTATGAATTGCATTTCAGGCACTTGTGTGCCAAGATATGAAAATTCACCTCTGTTGTTTCCCCACAGTCATTACAGAGAATCCAAACCTAGCAATCATAAGACTGAGTTGTGATATCTGAGAATAATAATAAGCATGTAGTTGTCCAACTTAAGTGATCATTCATTATGAGCCTTACCATCTTCTTTTCATACATTTGAGGCATTGGTGTTGAAGCAACCTAAATTTTTTTTTTTTTAAAAAAGAACATTTTAGTACCAACCACCGGTGAAAATTGAAGCTCTCATTTAAATATACATACCTCTTCATCTAGTTTTTTCCACACCCGGGACATATCACAGAATGATTTTGAACAAACAGGGCATGAATAACTGGAATCACCAGTAAAAGAAAGGAGCATTAAAAAAAAAAAAAGTATCCTTTTATAAAAACCAAAGCTTCTCAAGAAACTCACTGGAAATGCTGTTCCATCTCTTTTAAACATTCCAAATGTATAGTGTGTCCACATGGCAAGACAGTAATGTCCTTCGTCGTATCAAAAATAAACTATGCAAAGTGATTAGACACGTTAATAATTTGCAGAGCAGATAGATTTTTGCAACATTTTAGTTAACTTTTCACTCTGTCAAAGTTTACCTCAAAGCAAACAGGGCAATTATGGTGCATTGCTCTTTCCACACAATTGTGTGTATCCTTCAGCATTTTTGAGTAGCAACACCCTAAAAAATCTCTTTTTAGAATATATATTTTTCTAAAATCTCCAAGAAATGGATTTACAGAAGATCAATAAATCCAAATATGAATAACTTACCACATTTATTACAATGAAAAAAGTTCTCCTCCCCTCCAGTCCTGGAGTATCAAATAAAGCAGGCATTATATATGATTACAAAGATTGAGAAGATGTTGAGGAAGGTAAAGGAATATAGCCACAAAGAATCTAACCTGCAGATACCGCATTCATCGCAATGATACTGGTTCTTTGAAACCTTAAACCCAGAATGATATGTTCATTTAGTATATGTTAGCAAATTCCACTAGCATTTCGAAAAGAAAAATGAACATAAAAAGCTTACATCATCGTCAAAGAATTTGCATTTAGAGCAAAAGTACTTCCCCATACAAACTCCACAGTTAATGCAGTGCTGCTGAACCTGAAGATAAAAAATCAAGATTGGAAACGTCAAAACTTCTTCAGCTTTAATTAGTTATAGCTGTTGATAGTTGCTGTTAAACATTTTCAAGAGACTTACATCTTGTTCTGTGTCACATAAACTACAGATTACCTGAAACATAAACATAGAGCGGAAACAAAACCTAATCAATGCTCAATTTAATACAACAATCACTCGAGAGAACTTAACACAAAAAAGAAGAAAAAGAAAGGGGTTGTCATGGCGAGAAACTAATTAAGTAACAACAACAACTGACCCTTTTTAAATCATGGCGAGGAATGTCATGACGATCAAGAGGATTGACATCCATAGAATTCTGTAGAGAATATTTCAGAGAGAAAAAGAGAGAGAGAGAGAGAGAAAGCTCCAAATAAGATACAACCAACAAATTCACAATTGATTAGGTAGACAAAAAGAAGAACTCGGTGGAAATGAAAATTCAAAAATTCAGAGACAAAAGATGAAACCTTGGATTCATTGTGGCAATGCCTGCAACTGAATATCTCACCACAGCAAGGTGCTCTGATTTTGCACCTCCTACGATAATGCGAGCACCTTCAAATTAGGGGGAAAAGAAAAACAATTACAAGACAGATTTCTATACCAACAAAATGTAGACGAAAACTTTTCATGCTGTTTTCAACTTAACTAATCTTTATACATACCCAAAATTCCCAGATCCGATTTCCATTTGAGAGTGATCGCCGTTGAATATTTTGGCCTTAAAACTGGTCTCCATTCTATTAAGTGTTTCTTCTCCTTTTCCAAAACAAAAGGAGAACAATCGTCTCTAAATATTACCTGAAAGAGACCAAGAGAGCAACTTAGTCCAGCTTGCTACCTCGAAAAAAAGAAAGAAAAAATAATAACCGAAAAAGTAGTCCCATTTCAGATTAAGAAATTTGAGAAATAAGAACTAGTATTTGAAAAAAAATATATATATACCCAACAAAGCTAAGAAGAAAAAGACAACGGGCGGTTTTTTCTCCCTGGCAAGGAGAGAAAGTTGATCAGAAAGAAGAAAAATAGAATAAAGAAGGAAGAGAGAAACAACACGTGAGGACGTCTGCACTATTCATAGACATTTACATCAGATTTCCATCAATACCCCCGATCGTTTACTAGCGACACGGCTGCGTTCGCCGGCCGGTCTCCCCCAACTATTGCAATCATAGTTTATTATTTAGCAACAATTTGATAATGGCGAGGGAATTAGGGAAGTTTGCTCCGACATAAGAGAAGTAAACACAAACGACATCGTCTTACCCCAAAAAGCAAAAAAAAGTAGAAGAGAAAATTATGCGTCCGTGCAAGAAACCGGATTTCCGCTTTCCGGGCTTCTACAGTGGAGGTTGGTATCGTCGGGAAAAGCACCTGACTGGCTGAGATTGAGGTTAGGGAAGCAACGAAAGCCTCCGAGTTTGAACAGTGACGAATCAATTATGTCTGGAAGATAACGACAAATTGAAATTACAATTAGCAGCATGATGTTAGCTGATATTTGTGTAGAAAGAAGCGGATGGAGGCGGCGGAAGGAGGGATATTTTCGGCAGCTGAGGAAGATAGGATCACTATCACCACGTGTCATGAGGTGAATGGTTGGCGAATAATGACAAAATCTGTTTCGAGTTTTAACACTCACCAATGACGTGGCCTAATGCTTTTACATCGCAAAATATTCATTTATCAACCAAACTGTTATTCGTCACTCTCTCTCATACCTGTTTTTGACCTTAAACTTCTCCAACTGCCCTTCGAAATAATTTCAATTACCCAAAATTTGCAGCACTTTAAGATTGTTATTCATTACAAAGGACTCGTACCAGTGCCATCGTTAGCTATTGGTTAGGTTCATTCTTCATCTAGACTAATGGCAAGTATTAATCAGTTGGCGGTCTGGAACAATCTAAGCGATAAGGTGGTGCTGGTGACTGGTGCCTCATCCGGCTTAGGTCGACATTTCTCTCTCGACTCGGCGAAAGCCGGTCGCAGATTAATAGTTGCGGCTCGTCGTCTCGACCGTCTTAAATCTCTTTGCGATGAAATCAACAGTATCATCTCTTCTTCTTCTTCGCCTGCTACCTGCACAGAGCTGAGCGCTCCTCGAGCCGTGCCTCGACGTCTGTGCCGATGGACTCGTCACTGAAAAATCCGTAGAGAAGACTTGGGAGGCGTTTGGGAGGATTGATGTCTTGATCAATAATGCAGGCATTAGAGGTATATTATTGTTTTGTGTTTCTAACTATTTTAATATGTTCAAAATTTTAATTCAAATTCTTAACAGTAATAATATTAAGATGTATCTATTATATTCAGGGACTGTGAAGACACCATTGAATTTGAGTGAAGAGGAGCGGAATGTTGTTATTAAAACAAACTTAACTGGATCCTGGTTGTTGTCAAAATATGTGTGTAATTCGAAACAGGGAGGATCAGTCATAAACATTTCTTCAATTGCTGGTCTTAATGCGCTATAGCCTATTCTTCTTCCAAGGAAGCTCTCAACGCCATGACCAAGGTAATCC